ATGAAGGCCGCAAAAACATACAATATCAAGAATAAAACAAGCAGACTGAGTGCTAAGCACCTAGGCATAATATCACATGCTGACGTTCCCATATTTATATCCGAAAACCTGACACCAAAGTCAGCTAGGCTTTATTTTTTGGCTAGAGACTTAAAAAGCACCAAAAACTATAAATATTGTTGGACGAACTATGGAAAGGTATACTTGCGTCTGGATGATAATTCGCCGATAATATTAATAAAAAGTGAATCTCAAATACAACAATTAACGAACAAGTGACTAGTAATTGGTAGGACATCTGGTTTCTTTAATCATATTGGTGTATACCTAGTGTGGATTGCCTACTTCAAATTGCTCCTTCTCATGTGTATTTCAACTCATTGTATGTACCAACACAACTTTGTACTAGTTCCTAATCTTAACCTAAAATCTTATGTTACATCACTCATATCTATACTCACCTCTACTTACACACAGCACAAACTATTTATTTATTTAACTTATATACTAGCGCTTTATATAAAAACAAAATCAACCATATTATCACATATCACACTCACATTAAACTATATACAACACAAACTGTTTATCTATATAACTTTTAAATACGCAGTTTATATTTACACGATCTCAACCATATTGTCACAGTTTCAAACACAAATTATGAAAATAACATATCCCCTTGATTTCTTATTTTACCCACATGAATAAGCCAGACAATATAGTACAAGACTTAGACGTCACAAGTAATATAACTGCTAAACAATGTCATATTGAACACTTAGATAAGTATCTACCGTCAGATATTCCCAACCTTTCACTTATAACGCAAAACATAAGAATCTCAAATCTAGATGACTTAGATGTTAATCTTAATCTACTAAAGAAAAAGATCGACATCATTGTCCTGACGGAATGTCGAATCAACCCTGACAGGCCACTACCTCACAAACCTGACTACCTTACTATTGTACTACAAATAAAATTAACTAGTTACTTAGTTTTTATTAGCCCTTCAATTGAACACTCTGTCAAAGAGGTAATACTTAATGGAGCCTCATGCCTAGAAATTTCTACATCCAAATACAACATTATATGTATCTACCGTCCACCATCTGAACCAAACCCTACTAACTTCATAAACTCTCTTAATAACACTGGTCAACAGTGGTTTTGGTGCCAAGGAACTGTATATATTTTTTGATTGAGGACCTTATGCTGGTTGCTTTAGTAGCAAATTTGTTGATTTCCTACGTGTGGTTTTCTAGATTTTGACGTGTATAGAAAAATACAAAATTTCACCAAAATCAGCGTTTATAATATTTTGAAATGCTTAAAAACTTTATTTTCAACGACTTTTGTGAATGAGGTGTAATGTAACTATCACGTTACATCCTCTAGCAGTAATCAGCCATCATATACCGATCCCATCTGCCTTGGTACCTCTCTTCCAATGGTTTTTAGGTCTTGATAGCATCGCTCTCCCTATTCTTAGCTATAGCATGCTATAGTGACCCAAGATTCTCTGGGAATTGGTCAAGATGACTGTGGAGGTAGTGCTCTTTGATAAAAATTATGACATCCTGAGTTCTTAGGCATGTCTCACAATTTTATTATAATAACAGGCGACATTAATATAAATATATGTGAAGGTAATAACGGAAGGTACTCTGATCCGTATCTAGACATGTTAGCAACGCACAGTCTTCTGCCAGGCCACACATTTGACACAAGGAAAAACAGTTGCCTGGATCATATTATCACTAATCTAAGTCCAATACACTACACAGCTACAATTGCAATTCTCGATACAACTATAACTGACCATAAAATGGCTAGCATGTTTATATACAGTCAATTAAGATATCAGAAAACGGTCAAAACGAAATCAGTTACAAATTACGTAGATGCTTTGAAAACCTTGAAAACTAAAATAACAGTTGACTTATTCAATATTCAAGACCCTGAATATCTTACAGATGAACTTGTTAATATTATTACAGACTCTTTAAATAAAAACACTAAAAAAGTTATTATTCCAAATAGTAAAAAAATCTTAAAACCTTCGATTACACCAGGTATATTAAAGTGTATTAAAAACAGGAATAATTTACAACATAAATTAAGGCTAGATGATACAAATGAAATTCTTAAAATAACTTATCGTCGTTATAGAAATTTTTGCAACAATTTGATTAAAAAACTCAAAATTAAATATGAAAGGGATCTCTTAGATAAAGCTAAATCAAACAATAGAACATTTTGGAGCTGTATAAAAGACATTACTAATCTAAAAAAACATAAAACTCTAAATAAAGAACTATATACTTTTAAAAGCAGTCCGGAAGAATCTGCAAATTACATTAATACGCACTTTAATAACGTTGGAAGGTCTCTTGCTGAACAACTCAAAACGGATGTCAAAGTAGTAAATGATTATTTTAATAAGCTACCGTCAAGTCCAAATTCTATAGGTGTTATAGAACCGGAAGCTTCTGAAGTTGACGCTTTGATATCAAACCTTAAATCAGAATCCGCAGCTGGTTGGGATGGTATACCCACTTCATTTATAAAAATGGCAAAAACAGAACTTGTTCCAATAATTACACATCTCTGTATTATGGTTTTCCGACAAGGAACTTTCCCTAGACTTCTTAAACGAGCGATAGTACATCCTATCTTCAAAAGTGGGAACAGAGACGACATTAATAATTATAGACCAATATCAGTGCTCCCAGTCATTTCAAAAATTCTCGAAAAATTAATTAATTCTCGTCTTATCAAATACCTCAATCAATTTAACTTACTATCAACTTGTCAATACGGCTTTCGTGAAGGCCTGAGTACTGAAGATGCCATTCATAATCTCACAAAAAATATTATTAAAAACATTGATGATAAAAAGAAAACGCTCTGTGTTTTCCTCGATTTAAAAAAAGCATTTGATGCCGTCTCTGTTCCCCTTCTACTTCGTAAAATAGAAAAGATGGGAATCAGAGGTACCTTCTTAAGTCTACTAACTAACTATTTAACTGACCGTTCACAGCGTGTGAAACTTGATGCCAACACTTGTAGTGACGACTTCACAACGAACAACTATGGCGTACCGCAAGGTAGCGTCCTCGGACCTACCTTATTTTTAATGTTCATAAATGATCTGACAAATCTACAACTTAACAACGGAAAAATTATATCGTACGCAGATGATACCGCACTACTCTTTGAAAATAGTAGCTGGTCGACCGTATTTCAGGATGCTGAACTAGGTTTACAAAAAGTCATTAAATGGCTAAATCTAAACCAACTCTCATTAAACACAAATAAAACTAACTACATCACATTCTCCATTAAAGATTGTATGCAACCTGAAAGTGACTTAAATATAACTGCCCACTCATGTGAGAACAGATCAACAGGATGCAACTGTCAAAAAATAGAAAGGGTCACTACCACTAAATATCTAGGCGTGACAGTTGATCAAAAATTAACATGGTACCCCCACCTAACGATAGTTGCTAACGGAGCTAGAAAATTGACTTGGTTATTTAAACACCTGCGTAATATTGCTGATAAAAAACTTATAACTTACATCTACACAGCCCTTGTCCAATCAATCCTACTGTACTGTATAACAATCTGGGGAGGTACTCATAAGACTCGATTTATAAGCATCGAGCGAGCTCAAAGAAGTATACTAAAAGTCATGCTAAAAAAGAGAAAAATGTATAGCACATCTAAATTATATAGGGATGCAAATGTTCTAACAGTCAGACAATTATTTATACTACAATCTGTTCTCAAAGTTCACAAGAGCTATAATATAGACCCAGATATTCTCAAAAAGCGAAATCCATACTCTGTCATAAAACAACCTCCAGCTAGAACACTATTTGCTAGACAGCAATTCTTGGTACAATCCATATTTATATATAATAAAGTAATCAGACTAAAACATATTTATACAATGTCTTCTAATGAGTGTAAACAGACTTTAATAAATTGGTTAAAGGAACTTGATTATGATCAGACTGAACAGCTACTTTTGCGGTAAAGCGGTCGCTACCTCCTCGCCGCAGAAATAGCCGTTCAGTTTGTAGGTACTTATATAGATAAATCACAATTAGGGAACAAGCAAACACAAGAAACAACTAACGCATGCACACATTCACACAAACCCACACACACAATATCTCATACTCACACAACTTTTTGGTACGAANAAAAATAGACTAGTACAACCTTTTACTAAATTACATCTAGTTAGCTCAGGCACTTACCATATGTCAATAAAATTATATAATAAGATACCTACGAATATAAAGAATATTGAAAATGATAATTTGTTTGGTAAAGAATTGAAGGAATGGTTATTAAAGAAATGTTTTTACTCTTTGAAAGAATTGTATGATCTCAAGAATTAATTAGAATTTGTACTTACATTTATTAAAATAATTTAGATTAAGCATATTTAATTAATATTATGTATAATGTTGCAATGCCCTCACAGGGCTCATGTTCTGGGACTATTTTATTTTTAATACCTTGTTTGTACCACATGAAGCAATAAAGATATTATGATTATGATTATTATGATTACCCATTGCCACTTCAGCTTCGTTTGTTCGTACGTTTCAGCCAAATGAAGTCCACTGCTGAGCAAAGGCCTCACCCAAAGATTTCCACAAAGACCGGTCCTGCGCCGCCCGCATCCAGGCACCTCGACCTTCACTAGATCGTCGGTCCACTTAGAGGGAGGTCTGCCCACACTACGACTTCCGGCTAGTGGCCACTTCAGCTAAAGCCTGGTCTGGGAGCACTTAGAATTTTGTCCAATGACCCAAAGCTACCCATCCTTATTGCTCGCGCGTTATTATATGCATCGCGACTGTGCGAGGCGCCCGCAGTGAGTGTGCGAGCGCAACAGCAACATAATTACGCGCGAGCGACAAGGATGGGCAGCTCGGGGTCATTGGACAAAATTCTACGTGCTCACAGACTAGATTATAGCTAATCCGTTATTATTGCACTCACCTCTTCTGAAGGAAGAACGCCTCCATCTGCCTGGCCAGGTCGATGAACCGCTCCACTTCCACCTTCACCTCCTCCTTCTCCACGCTCGGAGACGCCTCCTGCTTCGTCAGCACGTTCAGACATGCCTGGGGGTGGGCAGTGGGATACAGTAGGTCTAAAGTCCGGTCGCCGAGCAGATAGCATTTTGTCCAATGACCACAAGCTACCCATCCTTGTTGCTCGCGCGTAATTTTTTTGCTGTCGCGACTGTGCGACGCGCGACGGGCAGCCGCAGTGAGTGTGCGAGTGCGACAAGTGGCTTTTGATCGAGTCGAATCCGTTCACGGACGGAGCGATGTAATTAAAATACAAAAAACACAGGACAGTTGTAATTTCGAAAGACCTTCGCTTCTTTCGAAATTACAACTGTCAGCTTTTGCCACTTGTCTAGGGAGGCAGGGTAGACTAGGTACCTACCTTACAAGTAGCGAAGATCACTTTTTCGAAAATGATAATTTTTCAAAAACTTTTTTGTAGTGTTTAGCTATTAAGTATGTATTTTTTTTTATGGTTCATCATCACTTCAGCTACAGGACGTCCACTGCTGAACATAGGCCTCCCCCAATGATTTCCACAATTACCGGTTGGCAGAGCGGCCTACCTTGTTCTTCGGACGTTCTTCTATTGTGTACCTAGTGTAGGATAGGTCTACCGGAGAACATTTAGGTTTTTTCGTGAAGATTTATGGTATTGTCAAAACTTATTGTAATGATTAATAAGTACCTACCTATTTGGTTATTGGTTGGTTACTGAATTAGTTATTGTACAAGTTACTGTGTTGTGTAATGTATGTAGCTATTTCGAAACAAAAGTGTGGATGTCTACAGGATTGATAATTGAAAAGCGCAAATAATTTACCATACTTTTATTGACAGAATTCCATTTAAAACAGGTTTTAAATACTATTAATTATTCTACATTGAACATTTTGCACTCTTAACCAATTGAACGTGTGATGATGATGATAATGATGATGAGGCTTCAAACATCGAGCTATAGTAGAAGAACAAGTCGTGGTAATATATGAATTAAAATAACATCACTCAAAGTAGGTACATTTAGATTTAGCCTAGGCGCAGACCACCGATTTTTAGTCGGCCGATAGTTGGGTCGGGCTGTTAATCAGTATGGAGATGTATGAAAGTGTGCACATTACACCGATTTGGTATCGGCCGATTCTTCATACAAATTAGAATCGGGTCCAACTATCGGCCGACAAAAAGTCTGTAGCCTGCGGGGTGTTTTCTTAGGCTGGGTTGCACCATAATATTTAAAAAAAACGTCAAAAATCTGTCAAACTCCATACAAAAACACCGGTTATCTTTAAAGTTATGGTCAAACCACACGTTGGCCGAGTGGCGTTAACCAACGTGTGTAGCTGGCCTTAAAAGGTCGACATTAAAACGCAAATTACAGGTCTCAAACTTCGAACCTTATGGCTTTATGATACAGTTACAAATCAAATAGTCAAACAAGTAGTCGACAAGCGCCATTTTTCGGTACAAATGTACAAAACTGTTCCATAAAAAGTCACGTATAATAATAAGTAGTACACGTATAGTAGCACTCCATCTTTAAATTGGCTTTTTGACTTGCAAGCGAAACGAATTTTGAAGCGACGTTATTTTGTCTAGAAGTTCAGTAAAGTTAGACTACCCTCGTAAATTAGCTATTTAATATAATTCTAATCTTATATACAATAGTTCACATGGTTAAGAGTCTTAATACATTTATGACTAAGAAATTCACTTTTTACAAGCTTTATATTATACTTAACAACCAAAATGCCTTCACATATTTCTGGAAAACACTTGAATACGTTATTTTAAATTTAATAGTCCACCTCTAGACCAATACAATAAAATCTCAATTCTGAATATAATTATTTTGTAATTTATTCCACACTTATGATGAAAAATAACAATTAATTTCAAACAAGTGTAAAGTACTCATTTTCAAGCTTACCATCTCCGTATTTTCGGCTATATCTGTCCTTGTTGCACAAGCCACGACTGCTTAAGGGCGAAAGGGATAGAACCAAAACCACGAATATGGTACACCCAAGAGAATCGTGTTGAAATAATAAGTAGAATTTTAAGACTCGCCACAGGCTACAGATTTTTTAATCAGTCTGGTCAGTTTCAAACTTGTATGAAGAATCGGCCGATACCAAATCGGTGTAATGTGCGCACTTCCATACTTGTTCAGACTGATCAACAGCCTGGTCCTGACATAACTATCGGCCGATTAAATCTGTAGTCTGCAGGGAGCCTAAAACTAATACTTAGGACACACCCAAAATTGTGTAGAACACTTATACTATGGTAAAGCTGCTAAATTAAACTAAGTAGTACTATACTTAAATGTGATTTTTATACTAAATTAGGTATTCAATCAGTCGATAAAATGGCTAAGAGCATGATTAAATGATGTGAAAAGTGATATGGGGGACGATCCAAAATATAGAAGAGATTACGTAAAATATTTTTTGTATGTTTGTAATAAATAAACTCGACCGGTTTTGAAAAATTCTTTCACCATTAGAATTCAATTTTTTTTTAGTGATTAACATAGACATTTTTTAATTTATAATTTTTAAGTTTCGTACGAAATTACTGACTCACACAGTCATCACGACATTTCAGAATCTACAAGTGCTAGGAATCTCAAATTTAGCATAGGGGTTCCTTTTAGAACGTAGGTGCTCACTAAGACGAGACTTTGCAAAATTCAACCCCTAAGGGGGTAAAACGGGATCCACGCGTACGAAGTCGCGGGCGGCTGCTACTTACTATAACATTCTGCTATGTAACATAACCAAATCACTTTTCACATCATTCGTAACTTAAGTGTAATGATGATACACAAATAATAATTTACAATCCATTCACAAAGCGGATTTTTTATATTGAAATTAATGAATAAAGATCCCATTAAATCTACCTATTCATAATAGTTCACTTTAACAATCGTAAACATTTTTCAATCAACATTTATTATTTTGTATCGTTTTTTAATTTACCAACACAATTTAAAATAAGTTAAACGGTTATTGCTTAAAATCACACCCTAAAAATAAGTGCAAACAATCAAATCACAAACATATAGTTTGATAAATAGAAAAACTTTAGTGTTACATTTTCTAGACTCTATTAGGTACTTTTAAATTATTGGTAGTGTAAAAAATTACTTTAGATTTTATTATTGTTTTTATGGATTTAAGAATATGAATAGGCGATGGATGTAAATCCCCACAGCCTGATAATAGATGACTATATTCATTAGTATTTGCAATTAACACTGTAATAAAGAATTGTGAACTAAACTCTGTAATTTAATTATTTTGTACAATAAATTAAACTAAATCTTGTAATCAATTTACATCATTAAGCAATATTTATAGTCTTTAATAAGAAATATCGAACGGATTTAAATTACTTATTGAGTAAATATTACAATACTGATTATTTCTGGTACGAATACCACGGGGATTGGTACGGACTTCTGTAGTAGTCATCGTTTGTGTTGATTTGATTGAAGATGTTGTGCATATTTTGGAAGGACTGTTGCTGATGATGTTGTTGGTAGTAAGCGTCCTCTGGTCTCCAAGACCTGGCCGGTTCAGGATTTGGGTGCCTTTGCGCTGTCTGCAGAGGTGCATACGTCCGATAGTCGAGTGGGGAGTCAAGGAATATGCTGTCATTGTACTGGCCCACTGGCATTGGCCATTCCTGCGGATTAGCGGGCTGAGCAGGCTGTGCGACAGTTTTGGGAGGCGAAGGCTTCTTAGCTTGCCGTCTGACTTGCCCTAACGGCGGTGACACGGGCAAAACATTCTGTTTGTTCGACATAAACTTGTGGAACTCCCCTTGGAAGGCACTAGGGTCTTTATTCAAAGGTGGAATTACAGCTGGAACCCGTATACTTGAATCTAGCACTCTACTCGTGTATGGTTTTGTGTCGTAGTCGTAGGACTTTGGTTGAACTGTTTTGGCATTTGATGTTGCATTTGGGTAAAGAACTTTAGGCGGTGTTTGCAGCGGCGTCAACTGTTTGAGTATTGAAGAAGTGACGGTAGATGTAGGCGGGGAGACTGTTGTAGCTGTTATTTTCTGTGTAGTAGAGTACATTTTCGATTGCCTTGACATTACTGGTTCTATCGGTGAGTTGTATTCGAAGTTGGGATGCTTTTTAGGCGTTCGCGGTTTCCTCGGCTTCTTTTCTTTTGGTACGTCGCTCTTTACTTTGGGCTCCTTCTTAATGCGCTCTTTCTTCGGCGGTTTTTCCTTCTTTTCTGCGTCAGATTTCACGGCGGGTTTCCGCTTTTTGCGCTCTTTCTTCACTTCAGTCTTTACTTCAGGAGTACCCTGCGTCGTACTTGATTCAGTAGAGGTATTTGGTTTAGCCTGGCTTGTTTCCAGCGGATCACTGCCGTCTGTCTTCGCGATTGCGTTTGGACTTAACCCTTCGACATGCGGCGGAGACTCCCAGTTCGAGACCGCAGAGGCCATATCGTCAAGCTGTTCATCTGACAATTTCTTTGTCTTCACTTTCTTCACTCCCTTCTGTTTGGGTTTCTGACTAGCTTTCGATGGAGATTTCTTTTTGTCTTTATCTTCAGAGATTTCATCCTCAGTTTTGACCTTCCCATCTTCTGATTTGACTTTGCCTTCTTTCTTGATACTTTCTTTCCTCTTTCTTCTGGGTTTTGACAGCTTTTTACTCTTTGGTTCTTCGTAATCAGAATCTTTGTCAGAGTCCATATACCCAACGTCAGGCAATTGAGCTTCAGATGGGTCCATCTCATCTCCTTTCAGCCAAATGTCTTCAAGAGCATCAAGCTGTGTGTCATCAGGGTCCATTGGCATTATCGGCCGCTTCATTGAGGTCATCATGTCCAGGTCTCCTTCAGCCATTGTCATCTCATCGTCATCCATAACATCGTGACCTAAAATGGACACAGCAATCGCACCTTCAGATATGCTTTTACTGGCCATTGCTCTCTTCAGATGAAGTGGGTGGCGTTTCTTTTTCTTAGAATTCTCAACTTCAGCTTCTATAAATGATTCTGGGAGTTCTGTATTGTTTTTGTTGCACAAAATGTCTTGGCCTGAAGGATGTGGTGCAGGTACCATTTTCTCAGGCTGTTCCGGATGACAGCCGATGTCTTGGCCTTTCAGCCACAGTTCGTAGCGATCTGGCTGGAACCTTTTCACAAATGTATCCATCGATATTTTAACCATGTCATTGCTGCAAGTACATTGAGTTGCCCTCTTTCCGTATTCCACCCACCGTGGAGCTGCAAAGTTTGTCGACTCCGCACAGTTGAAGCCATGGTTGAAGCCTGCATGGTAGCCAAACGGGAATGTGATCATAATCTCACCAGCCTCTTGAGTGATTTTATTGACTGGAACTGAATATTGTTTCAGAATCTGTGGTGAGATCAATGTCATCTTGTGTCGTAGGAAAGCTTGACAGGTTTTCGCAGAAGTCGGGAAAAATCCAGAAGCGATTCTTTCAAACCGTTTTCCGTGTTCCGGTGGGATTGCATACCATGTTTTGGGTTCACCAAAGTGTAGATAATTTATAGAGTACAAATCCATGTCTTCGGTGTGCCAGGCGAATGTTGTCTTCCACATGCCAAAGTACAAATAAGCTGTGTTTACACCGTCAATTTCTATACCGTAATCTGAGTTGACAAAGTCGAGTATAGTTCCCAAATGGTTTATGTTCCATTCTTTGACGTCTGGATCAGTGATGCTGCCGTTGACATCGGCACCGTATATCGGAGCAACGTAGGTTACATTCTTCCAGTACTTTCTCTCAAGATCATCATAGCTGCTGTGTCGAGGAGTGCAGTATTTTGCAGAGTTGGCCATCACAGCAAATTGCTTCACAGTCATGGCTTTTTTCTGAATATTGATCTGTTGGAACAAACCTTGTTTTCCAGTCACCACCTGGCAAATCGGCGAGGGTATCGTCACGTTTAGCGCATCCAAGTCATAGCCCGACTTACGAGGCACCCACTCCGGCGGAGGGATCACTTTTGCCAGGCCTGCCTTGTGAGCACCCTTTGACTCCATATACTGGATGTAATTGTTGAAATCCTTGAATTCCTCCCATGTCGGCCGGAACACCTGAATGGCCACACCACCCGCCGAGGTCCCAGCTTCATCACCAACCACAGACATGTCTTTTTTATCAACACACGATGTCCAAAATCAACACTATTTCATCACTTGTCCACCACTCGTACAGTATTTCAAACGACACTTCGCCACCTTAGACGCCATTCACGATATTATTCGCCACGAAATATTGTCCAAATTTCGGAAATTCGAGTTAAAAACCACGCGATAATCTACTCGTAATTATGTGAAAACATTATCAGTAAAATGGCCGACTTGAATGAGATGCGCTCGCAATGCTTTCAACAAAAATCCCTTCACACAAATCGAAGTACACTTGAAGCTACATAAGCGAATTTAGGTCACGTACACACCGAATTGTATGACATTACGCGAGCTAGGATTATTTTTTAGCCTATGCAGCTTCGATTGTAGCAACGCCGGCCACTCAGCCACGGTCCGGATTCATTTCGGAATGTTGGTATACAATTTTGACAGTTGTCAATAATACAAACATTCTTTTTCTCGTAGAGGTTATGAATGATTTACGAATTTCTCATAGGAAAACTACTATTAATTCGAATAAAAACATACCTGAAATGATTCTTCAAATTCCTCAACTAAATTACCACTTCCATTTGAGGGAGTCGCCATCTTAGGTATTTGATTGATTGCACAATTTTATGTTATTGTCCGTTTGGCGTCTCTGAGTGAAAGAGAAGTCGCTACTGTATTGCGAGCACGCGCAAGCAAAATGCGCGAAAAGCGATCACAAGCGATGGGCGTATTTTACCCGCTTTCTCGCTCGCCGTGTTGTGAGCGTTGTCGTTATCCACGCACGCTCATTCGTTCTACGAGTCAGGGTTGTCAACGAGTTGCTCGTAAGTTGCAAACAAAAAAGCGGTTAGAATCAAAGATCTGTGTTTGATTCAATATATTTTCAAGTTTTCTGTTCTCATTGTGGTCCCTCCCTGCAGTGTAGTAGGTATTATTAAACAGTTAAATAAAAGTTGTTTTCATTGCATTGCAGCGCGGCATGTGAAAAAAGTTTTCCCAAATCAACCTAATTGTTTTTTTTTTCTTGCCCTAATCTTGGATTGTATAAAAATCATTTAGTACCAAATAAATATTTTTTCTTTCTTTCTTTCACAAATTAAGAATTGTAGATATTTGCCTCGCTCGCACGCACGTAAACTGAAGGGTAGGTATAAAAAAATTAAGTGACAACCCTACAGACTTTCATCCCAAAAATTCGTTCTATACCGTACGTGCGCAACGCACGTGTCCGTTTATTACAATGCGTATTACGTGTAATTGTGAAACATGTTAAAAATACTAAAAAGTTGTATAAATTTTACCCGGGGCTAAGAGATGACGTCCATCTTACACATTGATCATTCATTCAATCCATTTTTTAAATGTTGCCAACACTGCGCTGTCAATAACAGCTGATTGTGGTAAACATGTCAAAATCAGCTGTTTGTTATCAAACTTTGACCGGTTGACCGGTCTTTCATGTTTTTCTGACTGAGATGTGGAAGACTGACTGATTGAGTTGTAAGACTATCCTAGGCTGATCGCATACCGCAACCGCAGATGCAGCCAACCGCAAATCCGTGGTTCGATCACAGAGACGTAGGAGCATCCAGGAGAACCAGGAAGTTCCTTAAACTACCCTACATCAGTTGAAAGATCATAAACTACCTACGCTTGAAAAAAAGAACTGCTGGCGAGTGGCGCTGCAAAATAATCATTTGCGGTCTAAAGGAAGGGAGAGGGGGGGATGCTTCATAAGGGGGTGTACTAAGGGGAGTGGGGGGAGATTTAGGGGGGAGGGAGTGGGTGCATCATAAAAGGTGGTTTAGGAGGAGGGGGAGATTTAGAGGGGGAGGGGAGGAGGTTTCAAATCTCTTGCCTTGCCACTAATACAGGTACTATGTGTCAGAGTCACTAAATATCATAATCACAGAAAGATCCCCCGAAACCTTAGGTAATCAGCGCACTTTCACCTTAACATTGATAATACATAGTTGTGAAAAAATCATACTTCTTAAAATAATAACACAAACACGTGACGCGTGTTATACATGAACGAGCCCAAGGACGGTTATTCACTCGTACATACTGTTTGAGTCATCACGATCATGCGATTGTAGACCTTAACGCATTGTGATACAGACACGTGCTATTTTTAGGTTGTATGCGAAAGACATAAAAAAACCATCATCATGCCCCTCAAAAGAGGGAGAAAAAAGAGAGATGGCGATTGAAATAACCATTCTGTACTAAAGGTAAAAAAAATACGGTCAGACAGAAAAGGCATGTAAAAGGCTTCAGTCAGAATCCTTAATATTTATGAGGAAAACAACATGGTGAAGGTCAGCAGCAGTCAGCGTCCTCATTCGACTCTCGTTCGGTTTACATTACATCGACTTTGGTTTTCTGTCGGGTTAGATCGGTCGATATGATTCAGATGACAAATGTATGGTTTTATCGCGTCTAATCGATAAAATGGCATGACAAAAGCTTAAATATCACGGCGCACATCATAATCTGGCCACGCTGATGCCAGCCTTAATCAGCTTTGAGATAACAAAAACATAAAGTAAGTTTGTAAGTAGATGAAAGTTTTTAAAAATCACATAGATTATTGGCATTTTGTGTTAATTAGATTATCTTGTCTCGATGTGGTGGTAAAGGCAAGCAATTTTACACTCTGAAAATAAGTAAGAATAAATAAGCATTTATTGCAAAATTATAAGTTCCAGGTTTGAATCCCGCTGAAGTAAAATAAAATAATATAAAATAAAATATATTTTTTTATTTCGTTTAGGTATAATTAAGTTAGATTGGAACCTCCATTTATGCAATATGAAACCAGCTCACCACAGTTTAATAATAATAATTAAAATTCCTGTAGAGTTACCTAATGCATGTAAAAAATAAATCCTCGCGAGCAAAAGCCGGGCTTAAGACTAGTAGGTACGTAGTAGGTACATGGTCAACTTTTTCTGTAAACCATGGAAAACTTAATCCATGATTTCGCATAAATTGTCCCTGTTTCATTTGGTTTAATTTAAATAGATTATAATATGAATAACCATACAAAGAAAAATAATTAAAGATCGTGAACTCGTAAATAACAACAAACAGACAATCAACATGTATTGCATTTTATAATAATTTTCAATATTGCCAACATGACGCATCTAACCACCAAGGAGTCACTATAACACCACAGACTAAAAAGAGTATGTCCAACCACAGATTAGAGAGTATGTCTAAAGACACCACTCTTGTTCAAACCCCATTTCCCAAGGCTAAATCTTCTTGACATACGATAAAAAAAGTTAGCATTAAAAATGGTGGCGGCGAGTAACCTCGCTGACATTTGTTTTGATGCGTAAATATTTGCATTTGGATTGAGTTTATATTTATTTCAAAGCGAATTACACAAACTTTTGTGCACAAATTTAGTGGAGCAAAATAAATAATCAACTACAATGGCTGACGCGGCTGCTAGGCAGTTGCAATACGAATACAAAGCCGTGAGTACTAACATCATCTTATTTATCTATTACAAGCTGCTATTTACTTGTTTATCCATGCTAACACTTAGTTTCAATCCTATACTCGCTAATGAACACATAAATCTCCACTTATTTAGTCGGTAACTGATAAAATTTCAAGATTGTTTACGCATCATAACCTAACTTTTGATTTTCAGAACTCCAATCTCGTCCTTCAAGCTGATGTTCGTTTGATTGAGCGTCGCGGTCGTGATGAGGCGACGGGAGAGGTTCTATCCCTGACCGGGAAGCTTGGCGGGACCCGGATGGGTGACCGGGCTCAGCGTACTAAGCCTGATAAAGCTGAAGAGAGAAAGGCCAAGTAAGGACCCAGTTCTAATTTGGTAGCATAATCAAATCAAATAGTTTATTCAGTGCATAGGCCCTTACCAGGGCTCTTGTACACGTTCCCAAATATAGCTTGCCCTACCACCAATAGCCACCAGTTCGGGTCAACATACAGGCTGGTGCTGTGAAGAAGTGGCGAAAGAAATTCAGTCACTTAGGGATTTAGTATTTAGCATCTAAAAGTGATCTTTAATTTGTTAAATGATTTACTTTAATAAAAACATGCAACCAGTTTAGTTAAATTATTGATTTTCTAAAGATTTCCTATTGCTTATTGATCAATATTGTGCAATAAGTACAGTTTTTTAATTATTATTATTATGTTTGTACGCTTTGGAGCTCACGGGTCAAAAGTGGCCCGGTCCTTTATAAAGCTTGCGTGGGGATACAGATCCAACACGTAGAGGCCGTTTTATTTATTTTTTATTTTTTATTATTATCTCTTTATTCATTTTATTTCTTATTTTTAATATTTTTTTTACAATGTAAATTATAAAAAAAAACTAAAAATACATTATAAAAAAAATTTAAAAATAGTTAATCCGCTGGTAGCGGAGCAGGGCCCAAGCTACCGGTGGTCAGGGTCACAGGCTGAGGAACCTCCGGACAATGCGTGCCGTGCTGAGGATCACCGCCTTTTGAATCTGACCCTTGAGCCAACCATCTAGCGAGAGCTTCTTTATTATTATTATTATTATTATACAATATTAATAGCAATTCAGTTGTGTTGTAGTCAGTTGCTATTTTGCTATTGATCAATATAGTTTTATAATCAGATGTTTTGTATTTCTTTTAATGTTATTATGGAGGGAAAAATAAATAAATGACTATTTCAAGAAAAAGTGTGACAATTTTGAGTGAATCTTCTGTCTGTTGCCTGTAGTATGGACAACAGTGTCCTCCCCCATTAGGTACAAACAGTTTAACAATAGGTTGGTTCAATTTACAAAATTTCAGTAAGTTCTCTCCTTCGGTCTTCATACCTTCACATAGTATTATATAGTTCAGCCTTTTAGTATTCAGTCCAAGCTTCTAGCATCTTTGGTACTAATTGATAATAAAAAATTTCAGGCGACAGAAACGTGACGAAGCATCCTATGAGCTGTCCAAGTCTAAAACCGCTCGCGTGGCGTGGGCGGACGACACCCCGGGTGTCCTATACCGACCGCGGGCTCAGCACACGAGGCACGCTTATGAACTGCTGCTGTCGTTCATGCAGAGCGCTCTTGGGGACCAACCGAGGGATATATTGTGCGGGGCTTGCGATGAAGTAAGTTATGATTATATTTTGTGATAGTAGGAGGAACTGACAGTTTCGTAATACAGGTTGTGGTTTTGCAAAACAACGCCAACATAGTACATGACACTGATGTGTGTGTGTTAAATTGATGTCAATTTTATCCAGTATGTGCTGTATGTACATATTATTATTTGCAAATTCTATTCTATTCTATTCATTTTGAACTTCTAAGAAAGTTGTATTTGCGAATAATACTAAGAATACTAACTTCTGGAATCTTTGTGCATAAATCTTGACAAACTTTCAATGTGTCTGAGATTTAAGTTTTTTAATTTTATTTTTACACATTGACTAGTCTTATGCCCGTTTTCACCATCAATCCCTAGTTTTTAAGTGACCCCCTATGGTAAAACATAACAGGAAAGTACTATTCACTGTACTATTATTTTTTCAGGTGTTGGTTGTCCTCAAAAACGACAAACTAAAGGATCCAGAGAAGAAAAAAGAAATTGAGATGTTGTTAGGACCGATTCCTGATGAGAGATTTGCACTTTTAGTCAACTTAGGTGAGTGAGTCTTCTAGACACTTCATCATCATCATCTAAGCCATAGGACGTCCACTGCTGAACATAGGCCTCCCCCAATGCTTTCCATGTTGCCCGGTTGGTAGCGGCCTGCGTCCAGCGCCTTCCTGCTACCTTTATGATGTCGTCGGTTCACCTTGTCGTCCCGCGCCGCGTTTTCCGGTACGCGGCCTCCACTCCAGAACCTTGCTGCCCCATCGGCCGTCAGTTCTGCGTACTATGTGCACTGCCCATTGCCACTTCAGCTTGCTAATCCGTCGGGCTATGTCAGCGACTTTAGTTCGTTTACTACGTAGTACGTTTCTAGATACTTATTACACTCGACATCAAATAAATCGCACCTCCCGCGACAAGCACTTTTAAAGTATGCATCCCCACTTCCCACCAATATTGGCACCATTTAAAAGCCTCGTTCTAAACTTCATTTCATTAAAGGAAAGGTTTTTATCCCAAAAATGTGTCTTTAGAAGGATCCAGAGTCACTTCTTCAAAAAATAGGTAGTTACGCTTGAGCTAACTTTTATGGCTATAAAACTGTTAAGTTGGAATTAATCGCTATCCATCTGTTAAAGAGGCCACGTGTAATCATTATTTGGTTTTATAACCATAAAATTTGGTCTAATTGATCCCAGAGGTGAGCCCAAAGTGAGGTCTTTTTTCAAGTCACATTTATGGTATATGTTAATCATTTATTAAGAAATTAAATGTGTTTTTCCTTAAGGATATTTATTAGGCTTTCAAATAACACCAATATTGTTGGGGCACTATGATTGTGTCAGAAGAAAATCTTTAAAGTTCGCGTCGCGGAAGGTGCGGTTTATTTGATGTTGAGTGTAGTACTAAATGCTTGTGGCGATCACAATAGATCGATACCAGTCGCAGTGATACTAGGACTTTATTTCCATATTAATAAAAGTTTATTTCTTCATCGCCAGGCAAGAAGATAACAGACTTCAACATCAGCTCGGCGACAGAAGGGAACACAGAGATCGATGAGACTTACGGCATCAATGTCCAGTTCGAAGAGTCTTCGGAGGAGGACGACGAAGATGCTTACGGGGAGGTAATCATCTTCGTACTTCTTTTTCAAGTGTAATACGCTGTTACGGCCAGCGAAAATTTCGACGGGTTCATCCAGTGTCTAATGCCCGTATTCACCACCAATCCCTAATTATTAGGTGACCCCTATAGTAACAAATAACAGGAATTTTGTTGTCGTAGGGGTCACATAAAAATTAGGGATTGATGGTGAAAACGGGCGTAAGTTGCTCAGTTGGAAGAGCAGTCGCCCGGCAAGCGGAAGGTCGTGGGTTCAATTCCCGCCTTAGGCAGTTCGATATTACACGTTATTTATAATTTTCAAATTAGTTTGAGATGCGACTTTAGCCAAGGTTGTGGGTTCAATTCCCGCCTTAGGCAGTTTGATTTTTTCAAGTTATTTATAATTTTCAAATTAGTTGGAGATGCGACTCTTAACGCTAAAAATGAAATAACTATTCAACTAAATTTCCTACTAAAATGTTGAATGTTGACATGTTGATTGTGTAGGGCAAAACGCGCTGAAGACCCAGCTTGACATACACAAAATTGATGTGATTGTTACAAAAAATTGAATTATTTAAATTACACAGGTTCGCGAGGAAGAAAAAGAGGAGGGTGAGGGCACAGACAACGAAAAAGACAAAGAGAGCTCCGGGGAAGAGGACAGCGACGGAGAAGGGAAGAAGAATGCTATTCATGCCAACGTGAGTTGTTTATTTTGTAATTAGACTTTATTTATTATTTATTATAGCTTTATATTCCACATTTTTACAGTTTGATTAAATTAATCTGTATCTCTTGCTTGTGGCCCCACTTGGGTAAAAGCCTCCTCCATCTTTTTCCACCTTTCCCTGTCGCTGGCTATGTGCATCCAATTTTTCCCTGCCTTGTTTGTTATGTCATCGGCCCATCTTTTCTTCGGCCGTCCTACGTTTCTTTTGCCTTTTGGGCCTTGCCATTTTGTTGTTTGATAGGTCCACCTCTTATCTTTATATCTTGCCAAATGACCTGCCCAGTTCCACTTCTGTTTTAGGCTAAATTTAAGAGCATCTGATAATTTAGTTTTCATACGGATGTCTGTGTTTCTAGTCTTTTGTATTCTTCTTAGTTTTAAGATACTTCTCTCCATTGCGTGTTGACAAGAGGAGATTTTGTTTTTTACTCTTTCCGTAAAGACCCATGTCTGGCTAGCATAAGTTAGGCTTGGGAGAATGCAGGAATCCATTATTGTCTTTTTTATACTTAAGTTATAATTCCCTTTTAAGATTTCTTTTTGTGCCCAGTATTTCTTCCATGTTATACCTATTCGTCTGTCTAGTTCGTTTTCGTTGCTGTTTGTATCGAATGACACCAATTTGCCTAGGTATACATAGTCATCTACATATTATATAGAATATGTAGATGACTATGTAATTAGACTATTTGATTCTATTTATTTACAGCATTGTTGTATCTCAGCTGATGGAAAGCGATTATCAGGCCTCAGGTGGAAGTGAGCTTCATACGGAATCATCAATCACAAAAGAACTGGCTTGGTATCTTACCTCCAACTGCCGGGCACATCAATGCTATTAACATTGTAATTATGTAAGATTTTAGCCAACTAGATGGACTTAAAACAAGCCCTACCACCAAACAAACCGAGCTGAAAATGTTACTCCCACTAGAAATCGAATCCGGGACCTCATGACCTGAGACAGGATTTCTTACCACTCTGGCCACAGGTAGTCTATAGACAGGAATGATATATCATATGGCGATTATCACACTGCACCGCGCTCCGCCGCGGTACGCGGGACGACAGATTTAATCATTATATGCAAGTACCTCAGTTTGTATAGAAAACACGCGCGGCACAACACACTGACAACGCGTTTGCGCGCGGGATTCGTTTGTGATAATCGCCAAATGTCAGTATTTTTTCTCCACTAACATATTTTTTAACAAAACTTGCTCTGTCTTAAAACCTGTAATTATTGTCATAGATCAAAATAAGTTCTTATTTTACATTTCGATCGCTTTTAAACTAAAAAAATGTTTTTTTAGCTGTCCGAAGAAATGTCGGCCAAACGTCGCGACACGACACTCCACCCGATGGATATCGACGCGTACTGGCTTCAAAGACGGCTGTCCAGGCATTTCCCCGACGCTATGGTGTCTCAGGTAAAAAAATGATTTAATTTTTTTTATATCACTAGTTTTTTATGGCCATGACTTCGTATGATTTGCACATTTGGCCTGTGACAAATAATATAAGGCCTGATTTGACAAAGCGGCCGTCAAATTTTTCTATAGAATTTGACAGAGGTGCGGAGCGGAGACGATAAATGGAAAATTAAATCAACAAACATCTCTGCTCCGCTCCGTTTTGGTGGAAACTGGACCTAAGAAGTGACAAGTATGTCCCACGTACCAGAATGCGCTGCGTGAGACGTCCACCTATTAGAAATTAGATGGACACATGATCTCATGAAGGTTGCAAAAAGGCAATGGATGCAGGCCACTATACATCGTTTCATCCACTCGGACGCGCCCCACCATTCTTCCGCTAATGTTTGAGTGTTATCGGTACACGCTAAATCATCCATGAGTGCACACGCACACTACAATAATGACGCTCGGATTCAATGAGGGCTATCGTTTTTATACTTAACAGTTGGCACCCCTGGCGATTGACAGGACCTTACTCTACAGTGGCGCCATCTTGATGAGGGCAAATGCGATAGTCCTCCTACAACTTTAGCGCTCACCAGTTGGCGCCACTGTCTTCGCTACTAGCAAGTGACAGGATTTTACTCTACAGTGGCGCCAACTGGTGAGCGCTAAAACGATAGTCCTCATTCCCCGCAAGTGTTCGTGGATGAAACGATCTATACCAACAATGATGATGATGATTTGAGTAAAGCAGGATAATAAGTAAAATAATGACGGTGATTTTTTTGACTTCATAATGTCTGCAAGATTTCAGATGTGCTTTGAAAGATCTACAGTCAGCGTCAAATAGTTCGTGACACTCAAAGTGGTCAAACAGTTGACAACACAACCTTATTTCAATTGTAACAAAGACGTGTTGCGTACTTTTAGTGTCACTAAGTATTTAATGCTGACTGTATTTCGTGACAGCTCTGTTACGTCACAGAATACGCTTCACTACAAAAGGAACCTACTTCAGTTAAGCGTTATGACCTATAATTGAATTTGCAGGGCAAATCAAGCGAAGTCCTTCGCGCGTTAGCCGAGGCGGCCGACGAGCGCGACCTGGAGAACAGACTAGTGTTGCTGCTCGGCTACGACTGCTTCAGCGTCGTCAAGCTGCTCAACAAGTACCGATACACCAGTGAGTTAATTACTATTATTCTAGGAACTAGGAACTACACTCAGCGTCAAATTAATCGCACCTCACACAATAACTTTTACTTGTGCGAATTTTTAGTAAAAACATTTTTTTTTAGTTTTATTTATACATTCATGATAAATTAAAGCTCAATTTATTGGAATTGTTTATGAAAGTGAGTCTAACCAGGGCACCCCGCCCCGCTCTTACACTTAAAAATGAATGTACTGTTGTTGATTACTTCTTTACATTCAATCAAGGATATACAGGATATCCCTGTAAGTCTACGCTTCTAATCCCAAACTAAGCCGGAACCTCTCGGCATAGTAGTCCGTTTCTACTAAACCACTACGCCAAACGGCCGACGTATGCAACAACTATCCAAGAGAAAGAAGTTCAAATCTTCCAAAAAAAAAAAGCTTGTCACACAAAATTGTCTTCAATAATCACATAATATGTATGCAAATGTTAATTTTTATTAAGAAATTTTGATCCTGTGGAAAGTTGTTGCATTTGCACAATAGAATCAATTCTTTTCGTTTGATCCACACTTACAAGGACACCCTGTATACTTTTCTTTCTTCGTTCACAGTTCTCTACTGCACCAAGCTGGCCTCATCCCAGTCAGAAAGCGAGCGCGCCGCCATCCGAGAGGAGATGTCCAAGCAGCCGCACCTTCAGAAGATATTGGCTCAGCTGGACACCGGCAAGGGAGATGACGAGGTAGGCTCATCATCATCATCATCATCGCAGCCACAGGACGTCCACTGCTGGACATAGGCCTCCCCCAAAAGTTTCTAGACTGGCCAGTTGGTAGCGGCCTGAATCCAGCGCCTTCCTGCTATAGTCTGGTCCGTGAGCACGTAGAATTTTGTCCAATGACCCCAAGCTACCCATCCTTATCGCTCGCGCGTATTTATGTTGATGTCGCGCTCGCACACTCACTGCGGGCGCCCGTCGCACAGTCGCGACAGCAATATAATTACGCGCGAGCGATAAGGATGGGTAGCTAGGGGTCATTGGACAAAATTCTACGTGATCACAGACCGGGCTTTACCTATTGACGCTCCGCTACAAACTAGTGGCAGTCAACGCCCAATAGATGGCGCTCGCACATGAGTTATTATGGCATACACCGCCGCGCCTTCAAACCTGCATCGCGGTATCGAAGTTTTTTACCCTGCCTAGTATAAATAGAAAATTCGAGATGGTCATGGTATCAACTAGCACTGGGTGCTCGGAAGGAAGCAATTTCACTTTAGATTCCTTACTGTGGTCGATCTTCAATTCACACAAGGTCGTCTGTCCACCTTGGAAGTTCCTAAGGTGCGCTTTCTGATACATTGCCTCCACTCTAGAACCTTGCTGCCCCATTGGCCATCAGTTCTGTGTGCTATATGCCCTGCTTGTCACTTACTAATCCGTAGGGCTATAGAAACGAGGTAGGTTTTGTAGCCCTTGAATTATAGATCTAGCATATAACTTAGTCAGTGTCCGGCACTCCCGTACCGCTCCTATATCTCAGGCACTTGATTTAGTTAAGCGCTAGAAGACTAGGGGAATAGGGATGCGCTGCCAGTGTTAATCAATATTTATTTATTTAGTAACTCTCTTCCACAGATGACCGGCCAAGAATCGGAAGTGCCCCGAAAAAGGCACAAAACGGACACCGAACCCGAGGCCTCGGACCCGCAGTCCGGCGGCCAAGTACAAGGCTCGCGCAAGGTGCTAGCGTTGGAAGAGCTGGTCTTCGCGGCGGGAGCACACTTCATGGCCAATAAGAGGTGCCAGCTGCCGCCCGGGTCATTCAGGAAGCAGAGGAGAGGTGAGGAAATACCTTAGTGTTTTGGGAATAGGCACATCATCAGGGAGGCTCAACAGGGGACCCTTAGGCATCCCTATATGCAAGCTGCCGACGCATCTAGATGGCTGCCAAAGCATACCGAAGGCTGCCGACGCTTCCCGAAGGCTGCAGAGGCTTACCGAAGGCTGCCGAGGCTTCCAGAAGGCTGCCGACGCTTTCTTAAGGCTGCCGAGGCTTCCAGAAGGCTGCCGACGCTTTCTGAAGTCTGCCGAGGCATCCCGAAGGCTGCGGACGCGTCCCGACTGCTTCCGAGGTATCTCAAAGGCTGCCGAGGCATCCCGATGACTGCCGAGGTATTCCGTAGGCTGCCGAGGATTCTTGAAAGCTGCCAAAGATTTATTTATTTATTATTTATTTATTTATTATTTATTTAATAAGAGGTGCCAGCTGCCGCCCGGCTCGTTCAGGAAGCAGAGGAGAGGTGAGGGATATACCTTAGTTGTTAGGGACTAGGCATATTATAGAGACGGCTCAATACCCTTAGGCATCCCTATATGCAAGGTTGCCGACGCATTCCGAAGGCTGCCGAATCATTGCGGAGGCTGCCGACGCATCCCAAGGGCCACCCCCGTTAACCTATTTTCACAAGTTAAATAGGATAATTACGGCAAAATAGTTTTATGCGAAGAAAAAAATATGCAACATTATGTGAATGGAAGGGAACCCATCCAAGTGCTTCCCGCGACCTTCACCATATCGTTGGTTCTAGTGAGGGGCCTGTCGACATTACGTCTTCCGTCCCGTGGTCGCTACTCGAGAACTCTTCTGGCCCAGCGGCCATTATCTCTACGAGTTGCAATAGAAATAGTTAATGAATATAATATCCATCTACAGGCTACGAGGAAGTCCACGTGCCGGCCCTCAAGCCGAAGCCCTTCGAAGAAGACGAGACTTTGGTCGCCATCGAGAAACTTCCGAAATACGTGCAGCCGGCTTTTGAAGGGTTCAAGACGTTGAATAGGATTCAGGTATGTTACCATCTTCTATAATATAAAAATTAATCGCAAAATGTGTTGGTAAGCGCATAACAGCTCAACAACTCCTGGACCAATTTTACCATTTTTTTTAAATGTTCGTTGAAGTCCAAGGATGGTTTTTACGGCGAGAAAAATTCGAATAATTTCCGGGAAAACCCTATAACCAGCCCTTTTCTTTTTCCCATACAAACGTTTTCTAACTAAAATGTAGAGTCAACGCGTACGAAGTCCCGGGCACAGCTAGTATAAAATACAGGGTCACTTTGCAAGGCGTTGTCAAAATTTTAGAAGTGACTTTTTTTTTTCACATATAACGTGAGGATAATTTACTTTATTCATAGAGAAATATGCACGCATGTCACACCAGTTAACTGCAAGCTTAATAGTCATATTGACGCGCGAAAATAAGCTTACAACGTAATGCATGGCCAAGCATTATTATAGCGAAAAATACTACGATTAAAAATTCGTCCTGCTGTTATATTGTTCTACCTATAGAGCTAATTATAAAAGATTGGCAACACCTTGCAATTTCATCCTGTATACAGTAAGGTCTGAAACGTCAAATCACTATTACAATCTGTATTTACAATGTGCCCTCTTCCCACAGAGTCGCATATCCAAAGCAGCGTTGGAGACGGACGAGAATCTCCTGGTTTGCGCTCCTACAGGTGCCGGGAAGACCAACGTGGCTCTCCTGTGTATCCTGCGGGAGGTGGGCAAACACGTGAACGACGACGGGACGGTCAACGTGAGCGACTTCAAGATGATATATGTCGCGCCGATGCGGTCTCTTGTACAGGAGATGGTGAGTACAGTTCATTCACTCAATATGCGTCGTCATTCATTTTGTTTAGGAAATGGGGAGCGATAACCACAGAAAAATAGTTTCGTTCGTACATTCGAACTAGATTGTCTTTTGTTTATTTGAAGAAGATATTTGTTTTTTGATCATTCATTCAAGGTACATCTTTATTCGTTCACTCATTCGTTCCTATGAGGTAGATCTTCATTCGTTCGAGGTGTCTACGGTCATTCATTCCAAATACGTCCTCATTTGGTTTGGCGATGTAGCCTAGAATATGAAAAATAATGCCCACGTATGATAAAATGGCCGATTTTTCAGATAGTGTCCTACATAAAATTAGATGCGTCTTTGTTCTTTTACGCGATTTACGTCTTCGTTCATTCTTTTTACAAGAAATAATTTTAAAACATTATCCAATCCCACATTTAAGTTTGTGTTCGCCCACAGGTGGGAAACTTCAGCAAGCGTTTATCAGCATACAACATGAAGGTATCAGAGCTGACGGGAGACCACCAGCTGACCCGGGAACAGATTGAAGCCACTCAGCTTATCGTCTGCACTCCGGAAAAGTGGGACATCATCACCAGGAAAGGTTGGTCATCATCATCATCATCATCTCAGCCATAGGACGTCCACTGCTGAACATAGGCCTCTTCAATGCTTTCCATGTTGCCCGGTTGGTAGCGGCCTGCGTCCAGCGCTTTCCTGCTATCTTTATAATGAGGAAAGGTTGGCGTTGCCAGTAAAACATTGCCTGGTTTTAAAATCATGTGTTTAACCAAAATTGTGCAGATAAATACACTGGTCATCACAAAAATCGACCTCCCGCGACAAGCACTTTCAAACATATGCATCCCCACTTCCCACCAATATTGGCACCATTTAAAAGCTTAGTTCTAAACTTCATTTCATTAAAGGAAAGGTTTTTACCCCAAAAATGTGTCTGTAGAAGAATCCAGAGTCACTTCTTCAAAAAATAGGTAGTTACGCTTGAACCAACTTTTATGGCTATAAAACTGTTAAGTTGGGATTAATCGCTATCCATCTGTTAAAGAGGACACGTGAGATCATTATTTGGTTTTATAACCATAAAAATTGGTCTAATTGATCCCAGAGGTGAGCCTAAAGTGAGGTCTTTTTTCAAGTCACATTTATTGTATCGTTTATTAAGAAATTAAATGTGTTTTTCTTTAAGGATATTTATTGGGCTTTCAAATAACACACTTAATATTGTTGGGGCACCATGATTGTGTCAGTAGAAACGAGTTTTCCTGTAAAACGTAGGTGAGCCGATTTTTGTGATGACCAGTGTATTTGAATTGTCCTTTAGATTGATAGGGCCTAAAACTGGGTTATAGTAGCTTTGAATAAGTGCCCTAGAAAGGGCCTATGTAATGAATAAACTATTTCATTTCTAATTAATATGTTTATTTTCCTCAGGCGGCGAGCGTTCCTTCACGAATCTGGTGCGGCTGATCATCATAGACGAAGTGCATCTACTCCATGACGAAAGAGGGCCAGTGTTAGAAGCCCTGGTCGCCAGGACCTTGAGGACAGTTGAGCAGACTCAGGAGGAGGTGAGTTCAAATCAAATTAAATAGTTTATTCAGTACGTAGGCCCTTTCCAGGGCACTTATACACGTCCCAAATATAGCTTGCCTTACCACCACTTCGGGGCAACATATGGGCTGGTACTGAGAAGAAGTGGCTGTCTGAACTGTCAAACTAGACAGGAAGAGGTGAGTTCATCATCAGGTCATTAAGTTTTCAATGCAGGAGTACGACGCTCTTATTTCAGCCACAGGACGTCCACTGCTGATCATAGGGCACTAGGCCTCTCCTAATGATTTCCATATTGCCCGGTTGGTAGCGGCCTGCATCCAGCGCCTTCCTGCTACCTTTATGAGGATCATCCTGCTACCTTTACGCTATTTAGCCTATAGACGCTGATCTTTAGGACCCTGAGGACTGTCAAAGTAGACAGGAAGGTCATTCAGTTTCCATTGCTGGAGCTCGACGCTCTAGTTTAGTAGAGAAGTGCTTCTACTCCACCTTTAACTTTAACTTTGACAAACATCAAAATTCTGACAAAATCCATACAAAAAGCACCGGTTATCGTCAAAGTTACCGTTAAAGTTAGGTGGTGCGACTCAGCCTTAGTCTTCAATGCAGGAGCACGACTCTAAAATACCGGAGGCAAGAGAATTTAGTCAACACTTCTCACGCTGGCCAGACGGGTTGGGGAGGCTTGATGGTCGCATGTTTCTCTCTAAATAGCTTACGACATTAAAGCTTTGTTCACATTAGTCGAGGCTTAAGGCCTCAGCCTCGAACTTAGCGGGCAGCGGGGCGGGAGCGGCGGCGGCGCTGGAGCGGGGCGGGCAACGCAGACCCGTTCTCGAAACAAGCGGGCAGCTCGCGCGGCGCTTTAGCGGCGAAGTGTTGTGTTCGGGGTTGTGTTGTTGAGATATTTGATTTTATTCGCAAACGAAATGTCTGAACAACGGCGACAATTTTATTTCGATTCAAATTTATTCCTAACGCTCGATTTATTGTGGGCAAAAGAAGGAGTGCACTGCGCCCGCTCGTTGCCCGCTCCCTCGCCGCTGCCCGCTCGTTGCCCGCTCCGACGCCGCTGCCGCGCCGCTGTTTTCGAGAACCGGTCTATTTGATTTTACGCATAAGATCCTGCCGCTCCCGCGCCGCCGCCGCCGCCGCCCCGCTGCCCGCTAAGTTCGAGGCTGAGGCCTAAGAGTGGTCCTACTCTACTCTGTCGGAACCACACTAAGATAATGAATGACAACCCACCACCACCCATGGTTCTTCCTGTCTCACGGCGTACGAACCGAATCTCGGGAGAGCGCGCGGGTACTTGCTCTGGGCTCTTTTCCCCGGGCGCTTTGCTTGACTCCCTACAAATTTCTCTTATCCTTGTCCCTTCTCATTGTCAATTCTCCCCCTTCAGGGGCTGGACACCACAAATACGGTACTTCGCGTCGGGCTGCTATCGTTGATAAATGTCATCACTTCTTCTCATAACTTCGCCTGATTGTGTGCCAGGAGTGCGCGAACTCCTAATGAATGACAAGTTATTTAATTATAACCTCTATTTCCCATAATAATAAGGTACATATCGTTCGCAGGTCCGCCTAGTGGGTCTGTCGGCGACACTGCCCAACTATACCGACGTTGCCGCCTTCCTGCGGGTCAGGCCGGAACAAGGACTGTTCTACTTCGACAACTCCTTCAGGTAAGAACAAGGAAAATAGATTTTGCTACTTAAGTATGCCAGTATTAGCTTTACGCCCGCGGCTTCGCCCTAGTAGAGCCTATCCCTAGTAGATTAGTCTACACACTCGTTTTAAAATACCAGTTGGGTAAAAAGTTATCTTAACTAATCTAAAGTTAAGATAAATTTTCACTGGTGGCTTGCACACATTACACAAAAGTGTATTCTATAGACTTCAGCAGATATGTAAACTAATATGGCCAACTGACCGCAACGCATTTTTAATCTGTGCTGAGGCTACAAAAACTCTCGTTAATCGCAAAGTGAAAATATTGTAGTACGTACTATCGGGGACTCTTCCGCCTGACCACTTTGTAGAAATTTTAGCGTAAGCGCATCGCTCCGGTCACGTGCTCACCGCGTCTCTAATTGGTTACGCATTTTACTATATTTTTACTACGACCAATAAGAGACAATCAGGGCTTAGGTTGCAATACGAAATACCATAGTTCACTTTATTGTCATACGGTTAAGGTTTAAAACNAAATTGACTAAAATGCGACGTTGCCAAACGAGCGCTACGGATGAGGGTAATAAGCAATACTCAATCCTAATTGCTTTACATAGAGCTTGGTTTGCTAGGGCAAACATCTACAGTGGTGCGCCGACGCTGCTTAGACCCGAAATATGAATGAACGGGGGCGGAGCATAATCGAGCGTGTGTGTGCAAACAATTTAGGCCCTTAAGGTGTCAAGGCGTTCGAGTCCCCGATAGTACCTATAGAAAGAAAGAAAATTAAAATACTTTTCTTTAAAGCTGTGCATTAAATAATTATAATACATATTACTGTATGTTTGCGCTTCTAAAGTGATAGCAACAATTTTTTTTTACTTCACAGGCCTGTAGCCCTAGAACAGCAGTACATAGGTGTGACAGAGAAGAAAGCGCTGAAGCGCTTCCAAGTGATGAACGACATCGTATATGAGAAGACGATGGAACACGCTGGCAGGAATCAGGTGAGAATCATCCTCATCATCATCATCATCATCATCATCATCATCTTAGTTCTTTTTAGGGTTCCGTTTGTTCGTTCGTTTCAGCAGCCAAATGAAAGAAAGAAAGAAGAAAGAAAAATCTTTATTTAACAACTTAATAGTAAGAATAAATACATTCATAACATTTTACATCACAAACATCAAAAGGAGAAAGAAAAAAGGAAAAAAAAAAGTTGTCAAAAAGGCCACCCACTCAGTAACGTCTTGGACTTGGACGTCCACTGCTGGACAAAGGCCTCCCCCAAGGATTTCCATAACGACCGGTCCAGCGCTGCCCGCATCCAGGCTCTTCCGCGACCTTACCCAAAGGGTAAAAACGGGACCCCAAGTGATGAACGACATTGTATATGAGATAATGGTGCAGCGGACAGGAATCAGGTGAGAATCATCATCATCATCATTTTTGTTCTTTTTAGGGTAAAAACTCCTCTTAACTTCGGAGTCCTATGTTCTTCTGATTAAGGTCCAATGACAGTTTCCCTTTCCCCGGGACAAACTTGACCTTCACTGGTTGGGTTATCGGCGGTCAAGCTGTAGATCCTGGCTACACAGGAGTTGCAGCGGTGGGAACGAGAGATGAGAATAGTCCCGTCATCCGTCCCGTGCATCTCCCATACCTCAGACACTGACTGAGTTAGAGCTAGACCTATGATACCAACACAGTTGCTTTTTATACACTCAAATCTATATTTATTTCATGATAGTGACTGTCTTTGTTTCAGATACTGGTATTCGTGCACTCAAGAAAAGAAACTGGTAAGACTGCGCGCGCGATCCGTGATATGTGTTTGGAGAAGGACACTCTGGGGCAGTTTTTGAGGTAAGTTTTATTTATTTATTTTTCATCATCATCATCATTTCAGTTTTTAACCGACTTTAACAAAAGGAGGTTCTCATTTTTTAGTTCTTGAACATTCGGCTTTTATTTAACCTTATAATATTCGGCAATTAGTTATTTTAACTACGGATGAAGAAATGGTCATAGGGCACAAAAATAGAGCATATTTTATTATACACCACACAAGACGGAAGAAATATAAAGCGATGGCTTGCCAGTTGGCCAGTGTTCCGCAAAGTAATTACTTTTATTAGTCTTACCCTTACTTACTAAAAATAAGTTTATAAGATAGTCTGCGCGTTTGCTTCTCTAATGACTACGATACACCAGTGTGCCGCAGTACGCCATTTGCGGAACACTGTTCTAAAGCCCGGTCTGCGAGCACGTAGAATTTTGTCCAATGACCCCAAGATACCCATCCTTATCGCTCGCGCATAATTATGTTGCTGTCGCGCTCGCACACTCACTGCGGCCGCCCGTCGCACAGTCGCGACAGCGATGGGTATCTTGGGGTCATTGGACAAAATTCTACGTGCTCGCAGATCAGACTATGGACAATCTAGAGGATGGTTGCTTGCTTAGGTAAAAATGTTATTCTTGTAGGGAATAAAAAAAGTCTTATAACCACACATAATTTTCTTTACCAGGGAGGGTTCAGCAAGCATGGAAGTGCTCCGAACGGAAGCGGAGCAGGTAAAGAACCCGGAACTTCGTGAACTACTGCCGTACGGGTTCGCCATCCACCACGCCGGGATGAGCCGAGTGGACAGAACGCTGGTTGAAGACCTGTTCGCTGACAGGCATATACAGGTGAGACATAATAATATGAGGTTCTTTAGAGCCAGAAAGGAGCAGAGCGCAGCAGATGTGAGCAGAGTGGAGCAGTGCGGAGTAGAGTGGAGCAGAGCAGAGCAGAAAGGAGCAGAGCGGAGCAGATGTGAGCAGAGTGGAGCAGTGCGGAGTAGAGTGGAGCAGAGCAGAGCAGAAAGGAGCAGAGCGCAGCAGATGTGAGCAGAGTGGAGCAGTGCGGAGTAGAGTGGAGCAGAGCAGAGCAGAAAGGAGCAGAGCGGAGCAGATGTGAGCAGAGTGGAGCAGTGCAGAAAGGAGCAGAGCGCAGCAGATGTGAGCAGAGTGGAGCAGTGCGGAGTAGAGTGGAGCAGAGCAGAGCAGAAAGGAGCAGAGCGGAGCAGATGTGAGCAGAGTGGAGCAGTGCGGAGTAGAGTGGAGCAGAGCAGTGCAGAAAGGAGCAGAGCGCAGCAGATGTGAGCAGAGTGGAGCAGTGCGGAGTAGAGTGGAGCAGAGCAGAGCAGAAAGGAGCAGAGCGGAGCAGATGTGAGCAGAGTGGAGCAGTGCGGAGTAGAGTGGAGCAGAGCAGAGCAGAAAGGAGCAGAGCGGAGCAGATGTGAGCAGAGAGGAGCAGTGCGGAGTAGAGTGGAGCAGAAAAGTGCAGAGCGGAGCAGTGCGTAGTAGAGAGGAGCAGAGTTGAGCAGAATGGAGCAGAGTGGAGTAAAGCGGAGCAGAAAGGAGCAGAGTGCAGCAGAACGCAGAAGGGCAGAGCAGAACGGAGCAGAGTAGAGCGCAGCAGAATGGAGCAGAGCGGAGTAGAAAGCGAGTAGAGTGGAGCAGAGTGGAGCAGAAGGAGAGCAGAGCAGATTGGAGCAGAGGGGAGCTGATCGTCATTTCTCCGCACTGCTCCGCTGTGCCTTAGTGTAAGCGGAGCAGGTAAAGAACCCGGAACTCCGCGAACTACTGCCGTACGGGTTCGCCATCCACCACGCCGGGATGAGCCGAGTGGACCGGACGCTGGTTGAAGACCTGTTCGCTGACAGGCATATACAGGTGAGACATATGAGCCTTTTTAGAGCAGAAAGGAGCAGAGCGTAGTAGAGCAAAGCACAGAGCGAAACAGAGGTAAGCAGAGCGGCGAGCGACTACTAGCGGCCGCCCGTGACTTCGTTAGCGTGGATCCCGTTTTAGCCCTTTAGGGGTGGAGTTTCGTAAAATCCGTTCTTAATGAGCACCTACATTCTAAAAGGGACCCCCATGCAAAATGTGAGACTCTTAGCATTTGTAGTTTCTGAGATATCGTGATGAGTGAGTCAGTCAATCAGCGACTTTTCGCTTTAATAAATATAGATGTTAAAAATCAACCTACTTTCTACTTTCCACGGCTTCTCTCGCAAGAAGTGTCAACTTGTAATTTTAATTTGTCAGCGTCTCAATTAAAAATCAACCGTATCTTCTTACCCCTAGGTCCTAGTTTCGACAGCCACTCTCGCGTGGGGCGTCAACTTGCCGGCCCACACCGTCATCGTCAAAGGGACCCAAGTGTACTCCCCTGAGAAAGGCCGATGGAGCGAGCTTGGGCCTTTAGATGTTTTTTTATATTTGACCTTTATTACCATCATAATAGATCCTAGTTTCCAGTTTCACTTCAATACATTGTATTTTGTAATCTACTAAAAAATAATGCGTTAAATTGTAAGCAGTATGTTCCTGTTTCACAATATTCCGTTCACAATCACGCAGGTTAGATTGTAATCTAACGGTGACATAATATTATGTACTACTAGCAGCCGCCCGCGACTTCGTTAGCGTGGATCCCGTTTTCCTCCTTTATGGGTGGAGTTTCGTGAAATCCGTTCTTAGCGAGCACCTACGTTCTAAAACGAACCCCCATGCAAAATTTGAGACTTCTAACACTTGTAGTTTCGGAGATTTCGTAATGAGTGAGTCAGTCAATCAGCGTCTTTTCGCTTTTATAGATGTTAAAAATCAACCTATAAGGTTCTTGGCCTTAGGTCCTATTTTCCACGGCTTCTCTCGCGAGAGTTGTCAACTTGTAATTTGAATTTCTGTCAGCGTCTCAATTAAAAATCAACCGTATCTCCTTACCTCCAGGTCCTAGTATCCACTGCCACTCTCGCGTGGGGCGTCAACCTGCCGGCCCACACCGTCATCGTCAAAGGGACCCAAGTGTACTCCCCGGAGAAAGGACGGTGGAGCGAGCTTGGGGCTTTGGATGTACTTCAAATGCTGGGCAGAGCTGGGCGGCCGCAGTACGATACTAAGGGAGAGGGTAAGTGTTTTTATTACTTTCATAAAGTATTGTTAATTGTGAAAAATATAAAACGTTAAAATAGCGGTATCGTTATAGCCAATGAGATGCTGTCATAGTGACATTGACAATACGTCAATGTCACACGAGAATCAAACGTCAGAATAGAGGGACGCGCGGAGACGACTCCGCTCGCTTTTGTGCTAAGTGATGAATTGTATCTAAAATAAGGCAATATAATGTGAAAGATGAGTAACCAGTGTTTTATTTATGAGAATAGATCGACCGGCCTCTAATAGTATAAAATAAAATTGGGAGTGTGTAAATCGACAACCGAAAAGTTTAAAAAAAAATTAATAATTCTAATTAATTTCTTTTCATAAAGTGTATAGTAAAATTGATAGGGAGTTGTGTGTAAATCGACTTGAGAGTTCTTTGGAAATGTTGATAAAATGTCTTATTTAATAAGGAACACAATTCCTGTGCACCACATACTTTGAAAAAACGCGTGATGTCAATATTTTGTAAAACTAGAATTAACGCGACATTTCAACCCAATGTAGCACTGCAATTATTTGTTTATTAAAAACCAATTAACCGAGTCACTGCGTGAGCTATGGGAACAGCATGGGAAGGGTGACAATGACATATTATTATGACTTGACAGAGTTTGATACTACAAGAACACCCTTCCATACCTCAGGCACTGACTCCGAAGTGCTAGACCTAAAATAGGGTGAATTTGCAATAAACCCAATTTATTTATTTATTTCAAATGCAAGTAAGCTTACATTGTTATATGGATCTGTTGCAGTCAAAACTCAATCGGTCAAAACCACTTTTAACTGGAAAAATCAGTCAAAAGTTATATTGACCAAGGGCATCAGTCTAAAACACTTTTGATTGATTTTTCAGTCAAAAGTGGTTTTGAAATTGCATTTAATGTTAGTAAGTACTTATGTCCAATACATTTTCCCTCCACAGGTATCCTGATAACAAACTACTCTGAACTCCAATACTACTTGTCGCTGCTCAACCAACAGCTGCCGATCGAGTCGCAGCTGGTCAGCAAGCTGCCGGACATGCTGAATGCCGAGGTCGTGCTGGGCTCCGTGCAGAGCGTGCGGGACGCGGTCACGTGGCTGGGTGGGTGTCTAAAATGGAGGATACTTTCTAAAACAAAACGGGACTATTCCCACCGCTGCAACTCCTGTGTAGCCAGGATCTACAGCTTGACCGCCAATAAAAACCCAACCAGTGAAGATCAAGTTTCTAAAACTAGTGTCTAAAATGGAGGCCAGTGTCTAAAATGATCGCAAGTGCTAGACACTTGCGATCATTTTAGACACTGGCCTCCATTTCAGATACTAGCCTCCATTCTAGTGTCTAAAATCGTAGCTAGTGTCTAAAACAGACGCTAGTTTCTTTTGACTTTGATCCATCTAACATAGTTTTACGTCCATCTGAAGCATGGGTTCCCAAACTTATTTGAGACGCACCCCCTATCGACCATACAAAAAATTTCGTCCACCTAACATGACTTCGTCCACATAACATGATGACTTATCGTCCACATAACATGATGACTTTTCGTCCACATAACATGACTTGTCCATCTAATATGACTTTACGTCCATCTAATATGACTTTTCGTCCACATAACGTGACTTTTCGTCCACCTAATATGACTTCGTCCACCTAACATGACTTTTCGTCCATATAACATGACTTTTCGTCCACATAACATGACTTCGTCCATTTACCTTGACTTTTCGTCCACATAACGTGACTTTTCGTCCACCTAACATGACTTTTCGTCCACATAACATGACTTTTCGTCCACCTAATATGACTTTTCGTCCATCTAACTTGACCTTTCCTCCTCAGGCTACACATACCTGTACATCCGAATGCTGCGTCAGCCCGCACTGTACGGAGTCACTCCTGAGAAGCTGCAGGAAGACCCGTTGCTTGAACTGCATAGGGCTGACTTGGTTCATACTGCTGCGAATCTTTTGGACAAGTGAGTATTATTTAGTGGTGTTTTAAGCCGTGTATTCATTAGGCAACATTTGTTGATAGACTGTTTATGACTAGTGTGAAACAAGTTTACCATAAACACAGGTTTCTGAAACTTGGCCGTTCACACTTGCTCTCCACTCATAGCGGGGACATGTATCATAAACAATGTTTCATCACCTATGTTTATGGACTGTTTACAGACATGATGAAACATTGTTTATGAACAGTTTATAAACAGTGTTTATCAACAAATGTTGCCTAATGAATACATGGCTTTCGTATCTAACTGTAATAAACAAAATAATGAATTTTCTGGTACATTCATAAATCATAGATCAAAAATCACGTCGACAGAGTTTATTCTTGCAAGCAAATTCGTGCCAGATTCTCACGGCCGTGTGGTGACGGCAGAGTAGAATACATTTGTCACCAACCCCTACTCTTCCCGCGGGTGTCGTAAGAGGCGACTTAGGGACTACACATCAAACAGAGAACGGGCAGCAGCGCTCTCTGACAAACATAAATCTTTTAAACTGCGATCTCCAACCCGCCTGCCAAGCGTGGGGATTATGGCAAAACCCTCTACTATAGTGGAGGAGGCTCATAGTCCAGCAGTGGACTGTAAAGGGCTGTTGATGAAGCAAATAAATATTAAACCTTTGTGTTGGTGTAAAACTTGTCAGAATACAATTTTTGAGTAAAGAGTATCTAAATATTTTTGTAATACCCTTCGCAGTCCAATTGGTTAAAAAGTCTCGTGCTCCTGCATTGGAGACCAAACTATCCTAATGTATAACTTTCTAGAAAAGGGTCTCAACTAATCAAATATCTTCTTTCCCAGAGCCGGCCTAATAAAATACGAACGCAAATCCGGCCACTTCCAACCGACCGAACTCGGCCGAATCGCATCGCACTACTACTGCACATACGAAACTATGCAATGCTACAACCAACTGCTGCGGCCGACGCTCGGCGAGATCGAACTGTTCCGAGTGTTCTCTCTGTCGGCGGAGTTCCGGCACGTCGCGGTGCGCGAAGAGGAAAAGCTTGAGCTGCATAAGCTCATGGAGCGGGTGAGTGGCTAGAGTGGACCCACGTGGCTAGAGTGGACCCACGTGGCTAGAGTGGACCCACGTGGCTAGAGTGGACCCAAGTGGCTAGAGTGGACGCTCGGCGAGATCGAGCTGTTCCGAGTGTTCTCTCTGTCGGCGGAGTTCCGGCACGTCGCGGTGCGCGAAGAGGAAAAGCTTGAGCTGCATAAGCTCATGGAGCGGGTGAGTGGCTAGAGTGGACCCACGTGGCTAGAGTGGACGCTGGTGCCTAGAGTGAACGCTGGTGCCTAGAGTGAACGCTAGTGGCTAGAGTGGAGGGTAGTGTCTAAAATGGAGGCTAAAGTGTCTAAAATGGGCGCTAGTGTCTAAAATGGAGGCTAGTGTCTAAAATGGAGGCCAGTGTCTAAAATGGAGGCCAATGTCTAAAATGGCCGCTAGTGTCTTAAATGGAGGCCAGTGTCTAAAATGGAGACTAGTGTCTTGACAAGTGTCTAAAATGGCCGCTAGTGTCTAAAATGGAGGCCAGTGTTTAAAATGGAGGCTAGTGTCTAAAATGGAAGCTAGTGTCTTAGAGGCTAGTGTCTCGCTCGGCCGCTGTGTCTCGGTCGTCAGTCCACCAAGCGCGGCCGCTCGCCGCGTGTCTCCGGCGCACAGCGTCCACTGCTGCGCCTGCGAGACGATGCAATGCTACAACCAACTGCTGCGGCCGACGCTCGGCGAAATCGAACTGTTCCGAGTGTTCTCTCTGTCGGCGGAGTTCCGTCACGTCGCGGTGCGCGAAGAGGAAAAGCTTGAGCTGCACAAGCTCATGGAGCGGGTGAGTGGCTAGAGTGGACCCACGTGGCTAGAGTGGACCCACGTGGCTACAGTGGACGCTAGTGGCTAGAGTGGAGGGTAGTGTCTAAAATGGAGGCTAAAGTGTCTAAAATGGCCGCTAGTGTCTAAAATGGAGGCCAATGTCTAAAATGGCCGCTAGTGTCTTAAATGGAGGCCAGTGTCTAAAATGGAGACTAGTGTCTTGACAAGTGTCTAAAATGGCCGCTAGTGTCTAAAATGGAGGCCAGTGTCTAAAATGGAGGCTAGTGTCTAAAATGGAAGCTAGTGTCTTAGAGGCTAGTGTCTCGCTCGGCCGCTGTATCTCGGTCGTCAGTCCACCAAGCGCGGCCGCTCGCCGCGTGTCTCCGGCGCACAGCGTCCACTGCTGCGCCTGCGAGACGATGCAATGCTACAACCAACTGCTGCGGCCGACGCTCGGCGAAATCGAACTGTTCCGAGTGTTTTCTCTGTCGGCGGAGTTCCGGCACGTCGCGGTGCGCGAAGAGGAGAAGCTCGAGCTGCACAAGCTCATGGAGCGGGTGAGTGGCTAGAGTGGACCCACGTGGCTAGAGTGGACCCACGTGGCTAGAGTGGACGCTCGGCGAGATCGAGCTGTTCCGAGTTTTCTCTCTGTCGGCGGAGTTCCGTCACGTTGCGGTGCGCGAAGAGGAAAAGCTTGAGCTGCACAAGCTCATGGAGCGGGTGAGTGGCTAGAGTGGACCCACGTGGCTAGAGTGGACCCACGTGGCTAGAGTGGACGCTCGGCGAGATCGAGCTGTTCCGAGTTTTCTCTCTGTCGGCGGAGTTCCGTCACGTTGCGGTGCGCGAAGAGGAAAAGCTTGAGCTGCACAAGCTCATGGAGCGGGTGAGTGGCTAGAGTGGACCCACGTGGCTAGAGTGGCCCCACGTGGCTAGAGTGGACCCACGTGGCTAGAGTGGACCCACGTGGCTAGAGTGGACCCACGTGGCTAGAGTGGACCCACGTGGCTAGAGTGGACCCACGTGGCTAGAGTGGACCCACGTGGCTAGAGTGGACCCACGTGGCTAGAGTGGACCCACGTGGCTAGAGTGGACCCACGTGGCTAGAGTGGACCCACGTGGTTAAAATTGAGGCTAGTGTCTAAAATGGAGGCTATGGGGCGCGCTCGTGTCTAAAATGGAGGGTAGTGTCTAAAATGGAGGCTAGTGTCTTCGAGGCTAGTGTCTCGCTCGGCCTTTGTGTCTCGCTCTGTGTCCCGGCTAACAGGCCTCAGTGGCTAACATGACCAGCGTGGTTAATTCCGTGGCTAACATGGGTACCGTGACTCCGTGACTAGTATGGCCACCTTGGCTAACACGACAGTGGCCATGGCTTAAAATACTGCCTTAGATTATAATAATATGTAAATCCCTGTAATCCATATTCTATTACCCTATCTCCAATATTTCAAAAGTAGTTGAGAAAAATCTTTTGGCAAATGTAAAATTAGTAATTCTAAGTTTTATCACCTGTTTTTTCTCCTAATAAATAAAAGAAAATCATATAAAATATCTACCTTTGTCCCCAGGTACCGATCCCAATAAAAGAGAGCATAGAAGAGCCTTCAGCGAAGATCAACGTCCTCTTGCAAGCGTACATATCCCAGCTGAAGCTGGAAGGGTTCGCGCTAATGGCTGACATGGTGTACGTGACCCAGTCTGCTTGCCGCCTGCTGAGGGCGATATTCGAGATCGTGCTGCATAGAGGTAAGTTCGCAGTGTCTAAAATGGCCGCTAGTCTCTGTACTAGTGTCTAAAATGGCGGCTAGTCTCTAAACAAGTGTCTAAAATGAACGATAGTGTCTAAATAAGTGTCTAAAATGACCGCTAGTGTCTAAATGAGTGTCTAAAATGGTTGATAGTGTCTAATCAAGTGTCTAAAATAGCCGCTAGTGTCTAAAATGGTCACTGGTGTCTAAAAAAATGTCTAAAATGGTCGCCAGTGTCTAAACTAGTGTCTTAAAGGGACGTTAGTGTCTAAATAAGTGTCTGAATTGGTCGCTATTGTCTAACAAAGTGTCTAAAATTATTACTAGTGTCTAAAATGACCACTAGTATCTAAACAAGTGTCTAACATGGCCGCTAGTGTCTAACATGGTCGCTAGTGTCTAAAATGGTCGATAGTGGCTTGCATGGTCGTCAGTGTCTTGCATGATCGTACCTTTGGCGAGAGCATAGAAGAGCCTTCAGCGAAGATCAACGTCCTCTTGCAAGCGTACATATCCCAGCTGAAGCTGGAAGGGTTCGCGCTAATGGCTGACATGGTGTACGTGACCCAGTCTGCTTGCCGCCTGCTGAGGGCGATATTCGAGATCGTGCTGCATCGAGGTGAGTTCGCAGTGTCTAAAATGGCCGCTAGTGTTTAATCAAGTGTCTAATATGGCCCCTAGTCACTAAAATGGCCGCTTCTCTCTGAACAACTGTCTGAAATGGCCTCGTGTCGAAAAATAATGGCTGCTAGTGTCTGTACTAGTGTCTAAAATGACCGCTAGTGTCTAAATAAGTGTCTAAAATGGCCGCTAGTATCTAAAGAAGTGTCTAAAATGGTCGCTAGTGTCTAAAATGGTCGCCAGTGTCTAAACAAGTGTCTTAAATGGACGCTAGTGTCTAAATAAGTGTCTGGATTGGTCGCTATTGTCTAACAAAGTGTCTAAAATGGCCGCTAGTGTCTAAAATGGACACTAGTGTCTAAACAAGTGTCTAAAACGGACACTAGTGTCTTAAAAAGGGTCTAAAATGGCCGCTAGTGTCTAATCAAGTGTCTAAAATAACCGCTAGGGTCTAATCAAAGTGTCTAAAATTATCACTAGTGTCTAAAATGGCCGCTTCTGTCTGAACAACTGTCTGAAATGGCCTCTAGTCTCTAAAATGGTCGCCAGTGTCTAAACTAGTGTCTTAAAAGGACGTTAGTGTCTAAATAAGCGTCTAAAATGGCCGCTAGTGTTTAGAATGGCCGCTAAAATGGTCGCTTTTGCCTTCATTAGTGTCTAAAATGGCCTACTAATGGCCGCTAGTATCATGCATGGTCGCCAGTGTCTCACATGGCCAAGTCTTTTACGAGAGCATAGAAGAGCCTTCAGCGAAGATCAACGTCCTCTTACAAGCGTACATATCCCAGCTGAAGCTGGAAGGGTTCGCGCTAATGGCTGACATGGTGTACATGACCCAGTCTGCTTGCCGCCTGCTGAGGGCGATATTCGAGATCGTGCTGCATAGAGGTGAGTGTCTTAAATTGTTGATAGTATCTAACATGGACGTCAGTGTCTAATAAGGTGTCTTAAATGGCCGCTAGTGTCTAAACAAGTGTCTAAAATGAACGCTAGTGTCTAAAATGGCCGCTAGTATCTAAACAAGTGTTAAAATGGCCGCTATTGTCTAAGTGTCTAAAATTATCACTAGTGTCTAAAATGGCCGCTTCTGTCTGAACAACTGTCTGAAATGGCCTCTAGTGTCTAAAATGGTCGCCAGTGCATAATCTAGTGTCTAAAATGACCACTAGTGTCTAAATAAGTGTCTAAAATGGCCGCTAGTCTCTAAAATGGTCACTGGTGTCTTAAAATTGTCTAAAATGGCCGCTAGTCTCTAAAATGGTCACTGATGTCTAAATAAGTGTCTAAAATGGTCGCTTGTGTCTAAAATGGCCGCTAGTGTCTGAAATGGACGCTGGTGTCTAAATGGTCGATAGTGTCTAAAATGGCTACTGGTGTCTAAACAAGTGTCTATCATGGCCGCTAGTGTCTAACATGGTCGCTAATGTCTAACATGGTCGCTAGTGTCTAAAATGGTCGATAGTGGCTTGCATGGTCGTCAGTGTCTTGCATGGCCGTACCTTTGGCGAGAGCATAGAAGAGCCTTCAGCGAAGATCAACGTCCTCTTACAAGCGTACATATCCCAGCTGAAGCTGGAAGGGTTCGCGCTAATGGCTGACATGGTGTACGTGACCCAGTCTGCTTGCCGCCTGCTGAGGGCGATATTCGAGATCGTGCTGCATAGAGGTGAGTGTCTTAAATTGATGATAGTGTCTAAAATGGTCGCTAGTATCTAAAGAAGTGTCTAAAATGGTCGCTAGTCTCTAAAATGGCCGCTTCTCTCTGAACAACTGTCTGAAATGGCCTCGTGTCTAAAAATAATGGCTGCTAGTGTCTGTACTAGTGTCTAAAATGACCGCTAGTGTCGAAACAAGTATCTAAAATGGCCGCTAGTGTTTAAGCAAAGTGTCTAAAATTACCACTAGTGTCTAAAATGGCCGCTTCTGTCTGAGCAACTGTCTGAAATGGCCTCTAGTGTCTAAAATGGCCGCTAGTGTCTAAACAAGTGTCTAAAATGGTCGCCAGTGTCTAAAATGGTCGCCAGTGTCTAAAATTGTCGCTAGTGTCTAATTAAGAGTCTAATATTGCCCATAGTGTCTAAAATGGTCACTGGTGTCTAAACAAGTGTCTAAAATGGCCGCTAGTGTTTTAACAAGCGTCTAAAATGGCCGCTAGTGTCTAAAATGGTCGTTAGTGTCGAAACAAGTGTCTAAAATGGCCGCTAGTGTTTTAACAAGCGTCTAAAATGGCCGCTAGTGTTTTAACAAGCGTCTAAAATGGCCGCTAGTGTCTAAAATGGTCGCCAGTGTCTAAACAAGTGTCTTAAATGGACGTTAGTGTCTAAATAAATGTCTAAAATGGTCGCTAGTGTCTAGAATGGCCGCTAAAATGGTCGCTTTTGCCTTCATTAGTATCTAAAATGGTCGATAGTGGCTTGCATGGTCGCCAGTGTCTTGCATGGCCGTACCTTTGGCGAGAGCATAGAAGAGCCTTCAGCGAAGATCAACGTCCTCTTACAAGCGTACATATCCCAGCTGAAGCTGGAAGGGTTCGCGCTAATGGCTGACATGGTGTACTATCGAGGACTCGGACGCCTTGACACCTTAAGGGCCTAAATTGTTTGCACACACACGCTCGATTAAGCTACGCCCCCATTCATTCATCTTTCGGGTCTAAGCAGCGTCGGCGCACCACTGTAGATGTTTGCCCTAGCAAACCAAGCTCTATGTAAAGCGTTTAGGATTGAGTATTGCTTAGCTTACCCGCATCCGTGGCGCTAGTTTGGCAACGTCGCATNATAGTACGTGACCCAGTCTGCTTGCCGCCTGCTGAGGGCGATATTCGAGATCGTGCTGCATAGAGGTGAGTCACAACTCAAGTCTGACTGACAAGTCTCAAGACTGCATCCCACTCAAAATCAGGTGCGATTGTGGTCAAATACCTGCCTTGTTATGCATTAAAAAAAAGTTACCTGCGCAGCTCGGGACTATTCCCACCTCTCGTTCCCACCTCCTGTGTAGCCAGGATCTACAGCTTGACCGCCAATAACCCAACCAGTGAAGGTCAAGTTTGTCCCCGGGGAAAGTTAAACTGTCATTAGACCCGCAACGAAATTATTCAGAAGAACATAGGAGTTCGAAGTTAAGTTTCGACTTCCCTCCATTGCAAAGCGGATGACAGGTGACAAACAAAGGTTTTAATAACCTTTAACTACGCAGCTCGCTGGAATGCGACTTCCTCGCTCTCACCCGCACACCTCCCCGCGTTCGTCCAGTCCGCACCAGAGCGTCGATGTGACGTCATGGCCGCTATAGTCTTTTTCACCTAAGATGATCCGTATGACGTTTCGAGTTTGAAAGATTTAGAGATGTCACATAACTAAACCATAGCGATTTATCTATCGATTTTTTTCGAAGAGTTAGTAAAACCTACTTTTAGAGAAATATTTTGTCTAAGTGTTATTTAACAAAAAACATGTTTTTTTTAATTACAAATATTATTGTAACAATTTTTTATTGGTAATATTCAAATTTCATGGTTCGTGTTCGAAAAAACGATTCCTAAAAAGTACTGGTTCTGTTTCTTTAAATTAAAAACTATTAATTTATTTTTAATGCGTTTATTAAAGTCAATAATCGAAAAATATAGTTGATTTTTGTGATGTTTTTAATAACTAAGTATTCACTTCAATCGATTAATGAACCGCGGAAATAATCGATTTTATTATACAAGAAATACCCCAGCACTAAATCTATTCCGTTTCACACATTGCGTACATTAAATAAAAAATATTTTTACATCGTATTTAATTAAAATATAATCAATAGACTCAGATTTTACTACATATTTCAAGACAAGGTAGTTATTTTTTTTTATTATATTGCTAATAAAATACAAAATTTTTTTCAAAAATATTCTGCATAAGTAGTATGCGTAATATGGATAACCTTGAAGTGTCATACGGATCATCTTACGTGAAAAAGACTATAGGTGCGCAGTTAACTTGACCGGGTTGTACGATATTATCAGATCATCTATTCTACACTGCAGGAGCACGACCCTCTCTATTTTACCAGAGGAAAATGGTATTTTTATCCACAACGATGAAACTCTTCTTCTATGTGCAACTTCCTAGATTAATTGGTTAAAATCAGTTCTTTTTTTCTGTCGGCGAGCTTATTTTCTTTGAATGCTGTATTTACCTGTAAAGGCATATCTTTTAGATTCTAGCTTTCTAATAATGTAACGATGCATATAAATTGATATGTTGTTGGTAAATCTTTAACAATAAATAAATAAATAAAGCTCTTGGCCTGCATTTCATTGCCACTTGATAGGATGTAGAAGTGATCTTCAACCAGAGTCCTCAACCACAGAACTGGCTATATTCTAGGTCTTTTAACTGAGTCCAGTGCCTGAGGTATGGAAGCGGCAGGTTCGTTTCAGCCGAATGACGTCCACTGCTGGACATAGGCCTCCCCCAAGGATTTCCACAAAGACCGGTCCTGCGCCGCCTGCATCCAGACCTCCCGCGACCTTCACCAGATCACCTAGTGGGAGGCCTGGCCGCAATACGTCTTCCGGTTGTGCTTCTATGTATTTGTGACGTCAAACGTCAGCGAGACTTCTGATGTGCTTCAGAATAGTCTTTTTTTTGGTTTAGAATCTAGATGGTAATCTTTTAGTCTGTAAGTTTGGCAGGGCCTTTATGGGACATCCTGTATCTTATTATTTTGTTTACTAAACTGTGCAATTTTCTAAACACTAAACAATCGTCTGTTATAATAAACTTATCATTTTGTCTCCAGGCTGGGCGCAATTGGTGGACAAGACGCTGGCGCTATGCAAAATGGTGGACCGACGCATGTGGCAGTCTATGTCACCGTTGAGACAGTTCAGGAAGATGCCTGAAGAAGTAAGTTACATTTTGTGGCGCAGTTACACTATGCGGGACATTGATCGAGACGTAGTGTAAACACGCACTTCAGTTACTTTCGCCGTGCATCGCCACTACTTTGGTGTACGTGCTAGCGCTTCGTTTCGGTCAATTACCCGCATAGTGAAATTGCGCCATTATAAATTTGAGTTTTTCATCGTATAATAAGCGAGTAAGGTTCTAATAGACATGTTGACACCACAGTCAATTGACGTACTTTTTAAAACTGTCAGAACGAAACTCTCCCATAGATTTTGAATGGCACTACAAGCAAGTGACGTCACTATTTTGTCAACCAATTAAACTACTTTTTTCAATTACAATTCGAACAAAAATCGAAATTTACAGGTAATTTAAAATAAATTAGGTTTTTAAGACCAGAATATTTTTAAAACAGTTGTGGTTTCGAATTATTGGGGTATGGTGTCAAACTGTCTATTATGATGGTATACAGAAGGTACAGTGCCCTATAAAGGATTTAAACCTTTAACAGTTATAACTTTATCAAATTTTTCATTGTTTTTGGACCTTGAAACAAGCGAGTAACGTCCAAAATATGGTGGGAACTATATTCTCACTGCCTTATATAGGCTTAAAGTTGGTCGTCTATAGTCTGGTCCGGGAGCACGTAGAATTCTGTCCAATGACCCCAAGCTACCCATCCTTATCGCTCGCGCGTAATTATGTAGATGTCGCGCTCGCACACTCACTGCGGGCGCCCGTCGCACAGTCGCGACAGCAATATAATTACGCGCGAGCGATAAGGATGGGTAGCTTGGGGTCATTGGACAAAATTCTACGTGCTCCCGGACCAGACTATAGTGATAAAGTTTTTGGCCTTCACTGCATGTAAACATTTGTTAAATGAATAAGAAATATCTTTCATTCTTTCCTTATGCGCCTCCACCACTATCAACCGATTCTCCATACATATTGGAAGCCACTCAACTGTCGGCCGACTAAGTCTTTAGTCTGCGGGAGTATTAATTGTCGATGGATTTCACAGGTCATAAAGAAGCTAGAAAAAAAGAACTTCCCCTGGGAGAAACTGTACGAGTTAGGTCCCAACGAAATAGGAGAATTGGTGCGCGCACCTAAACTCGGCAAGATGATACACAAGCATGTGCACCAGTTCCCTAAGCTGGAGCTGGCCACACATATCCAGCCTATCACCAGGTCCACGCTTAGAGTGGAACTGACGATCACGCCGGACTTCCAGTGGGACGACAAGGTAAGAGTAGTCGTAGTCGTGATCATGGTCATGGCCATGACCATTACCATGGCCATGACCATAATCATGGCCATAATCATGACCATGACCATAACCATGACCATGACCATAATCAAGGTGAGTGTTTTTAATGTCACCGTCACAGTCATTCACTGTCTCTGACATTACTGTTACAGTCGCTAGCTGTCATTCCCATGGTGATTCTTTGCGATAGAACGAGACGACATGACCGGAAATGGGTAGCTGGAAATGTGGCCGATATTCCGACTAAAGTCCGGTCGCATAGCTGATAGAATTTCGTCCAATGACCTTAAGATACCCATCCTTATCGCTCGCGCATAATTATATTGCTTTCGCGACTGTGCGACGGGCGGCTGCAGTGAGTGTGCGAGCGCGACAGCAATATAATTACGCGCGAGCGATAAGGATGGGTAGCTTGGAGTCATTGAACGAAATTCCATGTGCTCGGCGACCAAACTTTAGCCTAGACATGCCCGAGTTGAGACACGTTATTGTGAAAGAAAATACCTTTTTTTTTACTTAGTATGTTTTGTCTACAGGTCCACGGCCAATCGGAAGCCTTCTGGATCCTGGTGGAGGATGTGGATTCCGAGGTGATCCTGCATCACGAGTACTTCCTGCTGAAACAGAAGTACTGCAAGGATGAGCATCAGGTACTTTTAAAGGAATTATTATTATTACCACAGAATAAAATAAGTACTATGGTCTGGTCTGTGAGACCGAGCACGTAGAATTTTGTCCAATGACCCCAAGCTACCCATCCTTATCGCTCGCGCGTAATTATGTTGCTGTTGCGCTCGCACACTCACTGCGGGCGCCCGTCGCACAGTCGCGACAGCAACATAATTACGCGCGAGTGATAAGGATAGTAGCTTGGGGTCATTGGACAAAATTCTACGTGCTCAGAGACCAGAACGACCTAGTTTTTGTGATAATTACACTGTCACACTAATATTATAAAGGCGAAAGTTTGTGAGTATGTATGTTTGTTACTTCTTAACGGCTAAACGGCTGGAGCGATCTTAATATTTAGTATGGAGTTAGCTTGTACCCTGGATTAACACAGACTGTCGCTTTTTTTAAGGAAGAGGTGAATCCTAAAAATAAAATGAATAAATAAATAAATTATAATAAATAAAAGTTTATTTAACAACTTTAACATTTTACATTGCTTACATTGCATTGTTGTACCTACTTACATTTACTCTTCCTTCATAAAATCTTAAATCCTTGTCATTTGGCAAGCCCCAGATTTAAAATATTCTCACCGATATAATTGTCCACAAAAAAGTCATAAAACTAATTTTATTTTTGCAAGTAGGCTTTTGAAAAAGCAACAGAAAAGCACTTTTACATAGCCCATAAAGTCTGATAAGTAGTTACCCGGACACCCTGTATAGAATTGCTTTATTTTTGTTTAGGTGAAACTCTTCGTGCCAGTCTTCGAGCCGTTGCCGCCACAGTACTTCTTACGGGTGGTGTCAGACAGGTGAGTCTTCTTTGTATTTATTTATTCATTGGGCTATCAACATGAAATACGGTAATACAGACAACAAAAAAATAGCTAAAGGTGCGTCTGTTTTCATCATCATCATCAACAGCCCTTTACAGTCCACTGCTGGACTATGAGCCTCCTCCACTATAGTGGAGGGTTTTGCCATAATCTCCACGCTTGGCAGGCGGGTTGGAGATCGCAGTTTAAAAGATTGATGTTTTTCAGAGAGCGCTGCTGCCCATTCTCTGTTTGATGTGTAGTCCCTAAGTCGCCTCTTACGACACCCGCGGGAAGAGTAGGGGTTGGTGACAAATGTATTCTACTCTGCCGTCACCACACGGCTGTCTGTTTTGCTGTCTACTTATACCACAGAATAATAAATAAGTACTACGTACAGAAGGTTTTCTTCGCGGAGGTAGGTATTTGAAAAAATGTATGCTCAACGTCGTTAACAATATGGTGTAATTTACCTTGTCTCAAGAGTCAAGCACCATTTTGTTGACAAACGTCAGTGATCGGTACTGCGCCGAAGCCATAGGGCTGACTTCGGAAAAATTATGTGTGACGTGAGGTGCCAAACTGCGGAAAATAGCGGAGGAAATGTTGAACCCCCATGCAAAATTTTAGACTCCTAGCACTTTTAATTTCTGAGATTTCGTGATGTGTGAGTGAGTCAGTCAGTGACCTTTCGCTTTTATAGATTTTCACGCGTACGAAGTCGCGGACACAGCTAATAAAAACATAAATTATTATTTCACAGATGGATAGCCTCCGAAACCCAGCTGCCAGTATCGTTCCGACACCTCATACTGCCTGAGAAGAACCTCCCACCTACAGAGCTATTGGACCTCCAACCGCTGCCTATATCAGCGCTACGGAACCCTGAATACGAAGCGCTGTATAGCGACATATTCCCGCAGTTCAACCCTGTGCAGACACAGGTAAGAATCAGCTGAAATATACAGGGAGAAGTTACTAAAGTCCGGTCGCCGAGCAGATAGAATTTCGTCCAATGGCCCCAAGCCCCAAGCTGTCGCTGCCCATATCAGCGCTACGGAACCCTGAATACGAGGCGCTGTATAGCGACATATTCCCGCAGTTCAACCCTGTGCAGACACAGGTAAGGAATTGTTAAAATACAGAGTGAAAAAGTAACTGGCATCATTTTAAAATAATACTCTACTAATGACACATACAACCGGGTCGAGTTAACTGCGCACCTCTTTGGAATGCGATTCTCCCTCGCAGAGAGTCGATGAAACGTCACGACCGTCAGGTGCGCAGTATTACTAGTGCAGGGGCACTATCGTTTTAAACTTTATAAACCCAGGACTTTTGGGTCTGGTACTGGGACAGGTCTTACCGCTGGACCACATTATAAAAAGGAAATGTTTGTTTGTATTTAATAGGCTCCCAAAAAATTCTTTCACCATTACAACCCTACATTATTTCTCCCGAACATAGGCGGTACAAACTTCGCCGGTATAATAACTAACATCATCTCCACCAGGTGTTCAACGCAGTCTACAACTCGGACGACAACGTATTCGTCGGTGCGCCGTCCGGCTCCGGCAAATCTGTGATCGCTGAGTTGGCACTACTGCGGCTGCTATCGGCCAACAGCGGTGGTCGCGCTGTGTACCTGCTGCCTAAGGACGCGTTGGCTGACGTTGTGTTTGCTGACTGGTACCATCGGTTCGGCGCCAAGTTCAATCTGAAGGTTAGTAAATATGTTGAGTTTAATCAAGTGTCTACAAAGGTACTATAGGTCTAGCGCATTTGGTTCCCAAACTTATTTTGAGACGCGCCCTCTTTCGACCGTACAAAAATGCATGTCGTATCGACCGAGCAGTCTGGAATGCATTTTCTCAGCGGTCGCAGGTTTTTTATACTTAAGTACACATATGGCCCGCGTTTAAAGGTCTTTGCGCCTCCCCCCACTTTAGAAACCAATGGTCTAGCGCATCAGTCAGTGTTACTAAGGTCTAGCGCATGACTCAGTCAGTGGTGCTATAGGTCTAGCGCATAACTCAGTCAGTGGTGCTATAGGTCTAGCGCATAACTCAGTCAGTGGTGCTATAGGTGTAGCGCATAACTCAGTGCCTGAGGTATGGGAGAGGCGCGCGAGGGTGTTTTTTGTGACGTCAAATGTCAGCGAATCTTCAGATTTCTATGCTCTGTCACGTCATAAATGTCAATGCTACTTGACTTTACCAGCAGTGGACGTCATTAATTTGGCCAAAACGAACGAAAGAACGAACTTAACTAGGCCATGTATAAGCGTAGCGAGAGAGACAGAGACGGGAGATAGAGACCTATGCCCGTTTTCACCATCAATCCCTAATTTTCAAGTGACTCCTATGAAAATAAAATAAAATAAAATAAAAATAAAAAAACAAAATTACTGATAAGTGTTACCATAGGGGTCACTTAAATATTAGGGATTGATGGTGAAAAAGGGGCACTAGTCAAATAACGGTCGCAGTATCCCGTCTCGGTCGCTTGTCTCTGTAGCGACTCGAATCGCCACCTTAGGAGTAACCGTACAAAGGTACTTGAGAAGTTAGTGATCGCTGAGTTGGCACTACTGCGGCTGCTGTCGGCCAACAGCGGTGGTCGCGCTGTGTACCTGCTGCCTAAAGACGCGTTGGCTGACGTCGTGTTTGCTGACTGGTACCATCGGTTCGGCGCCAAGTTCAACTTGAAGGTATGTAAAAGCGAAGTTACTAATAAGGTACTATAGGTCTAGCACATAACTCAGTGGTGCTATAGGTCTAGCGCATAACTCAGTCAGTGACGCTATATGTCTAGCGCATAACTCAGTGCCTGAGGTATGGGAGAGGCGCGCGAGGGTGTTTTTTGTGACGTCAAATGTCAGCGAATCTTCAGATTTCTATGCTCTGTCACGTCATAAATGTCAATGCTACTTGACTTTACCAGCAGTGGACGTCATTAATTTGGCCAAAACGAACGAACGAACTTAACTAGGCCATGTATAAGCGTAGCGAGAGAGACAGAGACGGGAGATAGAGACCTATGCCCGTTTTCACCATCAATCCCTAATTTTTAAGTGACTCCTATGAAAACAAAATTACTGATAAGTGTTACCATAGGGGTCACTTAAATATTAGGGATTGATGGTGAAAAAGGGGCACTAGTCAAATAACTAGTCTCCCGTCTCGGTCGCTTGTCTCTGTAGCGACGCGAATCGCCACCTTAGGAGTAACGTAAAGTTAGTGATCGCTGAGTTGGCGGAGTTCATTACTGCGGCTGCTGTCGGCCAACAGCGGTGGTCGCGCTGTGTACCTGCTGCCTAAGGACGCGTTGGCTGACGTTGTATTCGCTGACTGGTACCATCGGTTCGGCGCCAAGTTCAATCTGAAGGTATGTAAAAGCGAAGTTACTAAAAAGGTACTATAGGTCTAGCGCATAACTCAGTGGTGCTATAGGTCTAGCGCATAACTCAGTCAGTGGTGCTATAGGTCTAGCGCATAACTCAGTCAGTGGTGCTATAGGTCTAGCGCATAACTTGGTCAGTGGTGCTATAGGTCTAGAGCATAACTCAGTCAAGGTTCTATAGGTCTAGCGTATTACTCAGTCAGTGGTGCTATAGGTCTAGCGTATTACTAGGTCAGTGGTGCTATAGGTCTAGTGCATAACTCAGTCAAGGTTCTATAGGTCTAGCGTATTACTCAGTCAGTGGTGCTATAGGTCTAG